GTTTCAACCGAAATGAATGACGTAGCATTTTGAGGTATTTAACTTAAGTAACCAAGTGTTTGACCACTCGTATACCAAGCGTAGACGATCCTGCAGATCAACAAAGTTAGATTGCGATAAGGTTTTAAAAAAAAGTTTAGTATCATTGGCAAATATCTCAGAAGTTTCAGTGAGTTTTGCAAGATCATTTGTGTAGAGAATGAAGAGGAGCGGGCCGAGAACAGAACTTTGAGGAACACCACTGAGAACATCAACCCATGCAGAGTTGGTATTGTTAATTGTAACACGTTGCTTTCTGCCCACTAAAAAGGATTTAATCCATTGTAGGAGTTTGCCGTTTATTCCGAAAGATCTTAATTTTAACAAAAGTCTGTAGTGAGGTACAGAATCAAACGCTATGGCAAAGTCAAGATAGATTACATCGATAAATTGGTGGGATGCTATGGAGGACGAAATGATATCAAAAGTTTCTATTAGGTTAGTTACGCATGATTTATGATAAAAGAAGCCATGTTGATTTGCAAAGAGCATTTTATTACCGTTAATGTGCTTTAAAATTTTGTTCTTTGCAAGTTTTTCGAAGATTTTACAGGCAACAGATGTTAATGAAATAGGTCTATAGTTTTCAGCAAGTAATTTATCTCCCTTTTTTTATAGGTCGGACTAATATTTGCTAATTTCCATTGACTGGGTACTACTCCAGAATTAAAGGATGAAAGATTTTTGTTAATGGAATTGCAAAGCTTTTGGCACATATCTTGAGTATTAAGGGATGCAGGCCGTCAAATCCGAAGGATTTATAAGGGTTTAGATCGGCAAGTTCCTGAATAATATCTGGGATAGAGAAATCCAAGTTTTCATTATAAATGCATTCAGAAATTCACTTTTATTTAGCAAAGGAAAATTTTCAGAGCTTTCAAGTGTAAACATAGATTCAAATTGAGAGTTCAGAAGATCAACTATATCAGGAAGAGCTTCAATAATTCTGGCAGAAGTATCTTTGAGATAGGAATTCGATCTTTAATTTTTAGTTGTTTGTTGATATATTTGTAAACGAGTTTTGGGTTGTTTTGGGATTTTGATTTTATTGCTTTTTCATGTGCTTTTTTTGCTTTAAATATTTCAGCTTTTACTGAACGATTAAGTCGATTGTATTTTATTTTAAGCTCACTATTCTCGCATTTGGTAGAGCAGTTAATATGCCAAGCGGATTTTTTTGCTCGAATCAGGTTTTTAATATGAGGGGTAACCCAAGGATCATACTTTTTTTTTTGTTTTATTAATCTTGGGAATAAAGTATGTGCAAGCAGTACGATAGTTAGAAATTAGTATATTGAACATTTGATCTGCAGTTTTATGCAGAAATAAAAACTCCCAGTCGATTGATGCAATAAAGTTAGATATTGAATCGTAATCACCTTTTTTGTAATTAAACGATTAAGATTCACTTTCGGTGAACAGTTCTGAAACTAAGAATCTCCAAGTGATACTAAAATGACCCTTAGTGTTATTACCTAGTATAGTACTAGGAGACAAGTTTAAAATAGAATTACTGTTGTAGGTAAATAACTAGTCCAACATATAATTTGAGGAACCATAATCAGTCTGGAAAGTAGAAAATGTGATATGTTGTGTAAAAAGACTGTTTTGGAAAATATTCCAGAAATCATACTCGGTAGGATTGTTTGGGTTAAAAGATATAATACCATCGTTAGGCCACTTTATATTCGGGAGATTAAAGTCACCGACAATCAAACAGTCATTGTAAGGCTTTTTAATTAAACTATGAGCTAATTTGAAGGATTCAGCGATATATTTTATTAAACTAGCATCATTTGGTCTGTATATACAACCGATAAGTATATAATTGTTGTTAAATTTTACAGATACCCAGACTTGTTCGAGTAGATTTGTATAAAATTGGTTAACTTCATGAGAGTTAAATATGTCTGCAATGTAGATAGCTACACCGCCACCTCGACGTCCGTCTTGACGATCTTTACGATATAGGCTATACCCATCGATATTTGGTACTGAGTCATTTCGAAACCATGTTTCCGAGATAGCAATAACGTGATAATCAAACGTTCTAGATTGAAATTAGATCGGCCATTTTATTATCGAGAGATGTAACATTATTATAATAACAATTAACGCTATAGTTTGTTTTTTTGTTATGAAGATTTTTACTTTTGTATTTTAAGTTTGCTGGTAAAAGAGTGGAAGAGGGGTAGTATGTTTATGTAGTGGTTTGTATATTTTTGAGTTTGACGACTCCGCTGCTTCGTATACCGTATCTAAAGGGCGATATTTTTAAATTGATATTACTATTTAATTCATTACGCTTCATTCTTAACTGATAGTTTAAATATCTTTCAACCTCAGTCAAATCTGGGCTTATAAAAACATTTTTATAATTATCTGAATTTTTCAATTTTTTCGCTGCTGTTAATAATGGGTTTCTTTCAGAGACATCAGAAAGTTCGACGATAATTGGTCCTGGTTTAGAGGACGTAAATTTAATACGTTTGACAGATTTTGGTTTTGCATCATATGAAATAGTAACTAAGATATTCTGAACCGTTTCCTTATCGTCGATCTGCTTATCAGCAACTGATAACTTTGCAGATTCTTTAATGCCATAAATAATAACATTTTTTTACGCTTCTTTTATTGCTGTTGCTCAATGGCAAATGTGTTGATAATTGTTAGTTGTTCAATAGGCTGCTTTTTTTTTATGTTCTTGCTTGTTAATTAAGTCTAAAAATTAAGTCTAAAAAAAAATTAAAACGTGTCCTTGTTTTTTTTTTAGAAGTTTACAACAAGAATTTATTAAACATTAATCGTTAAATTAAAATAATGCTTTTTATTTTCTACCACTAACAAAAATAATTATCATAAAAAGACTATATAAAAATTAAGTATAAATATGGTCGGTGTGGAATAGACTTACGACGACCCGTATTACATTGGTCTTGGTAAGTCCATTATTTTACAGATTTTTAGGTATTATTATTCGAACCGCTAATAAACAGCAGCTTTTTTAAATTTATAAAAATCAATTTTTATAATTTTAAGAAATGTATATATATATATATATATATATATATATATATATATATATATATATATATATATATATATATATATATATATATATATATATATATTTGTTTACATTTTCACTTACATAAACTTACATAAAAATTATAAACAGGAACTTACATAAAATAAATTATAAACAGGTTTAGGTACTGTTACCATGAAAACCAAATCAATAAACAAAAAAGTTTATCTCAATAAAAGATCTTAAATTTTAAAATCTTTTTGAACTTAAATGTAGGGTTAGGACTATTGTTATTGTTATCGTAAAAATTAAATACAATAACAATTACAATACAATAACATTGTATTGTAATACCAGAGATGCAATTAAAACATTATTTATGGTTATTGTATTGCTGTGAATAAAAACAGTCACAATAACTATTGTATTGTGTTTTTTTTTTCTAACAATACATTGAAGCTCTTAAACTATTGTAGTGTATTGCTGTGATGTAAAACAACTACAATAACTATTGTATTGTATCGCTGTGATGTAAAACAATTACAATAACTGTTTACTATTACTGAGATAAAAAAATTCCAATAACTGCCGTATTACTATTTCAAAGTCAAATAGCTATTGTATTTTATAGTATTTAGATTATTTTTTCACGCATTTATTATTATTTGGGCACTAGATAATTTAGCGATGCTCGTTTTCAGCAGTCATTTATATATATAATTTTTTTTTTTATAATATAACTGTTTAAATAATAATTTATTTAGAATTAACATTAATAATATTCATTAAAAATCATACCAATATATAATTTATCATATGCTTGTAATTAATAATTATTTACTTTAAGAAGTGAAACTTTATATTTTTTTTATAACTTTGTCTTAACTGATATTGACATGTTTCACCGGATGATGACGTCTAAACTAATCGATTAACTACATTAAGCGCGTGAAAATAACTTTTTTTTTTTAATTTCTAACCACTAATGTGTAATCAATTACATCGTTATGGAATCAGAGAACCATTGACCTGGGTAATTATCGATTAGATTGTCTAAAAATGTGACCCAATTTTGTTTTGTTAAAAATTTTTCTACATTTTTAGATTGTTCATCACCTATCAGACCGTACCAGTCTATTTTGTGTGGATCATTTTTGAAAAAGGAGGCAGTTTAGAACATCAAATAAATGTTCTTGATTTATATAACGAAACTCTTAATAACTTTGCAACTAGGTGTCCAGTTACTTTATGAAACACATACAGCCATAAAGCCGAAAGGAAACAAAAGACAAAGTTATGCTAGAGTAAGTTTCGAAACAACTGGATAGGTGCCTGTAAATGCAAATAACTTAGTGGAAGAAATAGTAGTAAATAATCATGTCTATTTCCAGCAGTAAAAGAAATACAGGCCCAATTAAACTCTCTTTTATATAGCTATATAAAATTTGCAATAAAGACTAGTGATATTCAGTAAATAAAAAAGAACCAGAATCAATACTTATATATTAGTTGTACCCTATTTCAAGGTCACTTATCTCGGTGACTGGACTGTTAAAACATTTAATAATTTTGACTCAAAACATTTGAATAATTTTGAATATTTTTTATTACAATAACAATATATTGTTATTATATTATAAAGACGAATTACAACCTTAACAAATAAATTGTACGCAACTTTTCTTAAATATTATGTTCTTACTATTTAATAAGTAATTTTTTCGTCTTATTTTTAATTTTCTTCTATTTAAAACAACAGCTCAAAGTAATAAAGCGCAAATAAAACAGCATCACAAAGCTGTTTTATTTAAGCAGCTTATAAGTCGCGTGTTTAATTAAAGCCAATTTAGACAAGAACCGTAAGATTTGAAACGCGTTCAAAATACGACAGGTTAAAACGTTTTATCGCCAGTACGATACAAGAAAAACCATATATGAATATATCTATACGAGTAAAATAATATATACAAAGAAATTTCAAAAATAATATCGAATTAAACAAAAAATATACATTAAACAGTTATGAGCAACTCGAGTCGTTGCGACGCCTAGGTACGAGACACGTGAAATACGGATGAAGAAGCGCCTCATGAGCAGTAATTCGTTTGTCGGGATCATACTCTAACATTTTACTGAGTAAATCAAATAATTCGATATGAACTGTTCGATTCGAAGTCATGTATTCCTGTTAGTAAAAAAATAATTGTTAAAAGCCACATCAAATAAGCATAAAAAATATAAAGAACGACAATAACTAATTAAATCTTACATTTAATGGTCTACAGTTATCCTTTACATATTTTCCTTCTGAGCTATACTCATCCCAATCTAACATTCCTTTACGGAAATATTTAGTTTTCCTAATAAATAAAGTTTTTGAGGTATAAGTATGCTTACAGTTAGTTACATAAATATAAATTATACAGTGATGTACATAAATATAATATATTACATATAATAGTTACATAAATATAAAATATACAGTGGTGTACACTCCAAACTTTTGTATGTTCATGCTAATGTCAAATGAGAACGTTTTGCAAAGAATTGCGGTGAAAAGAGCTTGGGGACAAAAAAAACCCCAATTTTTTGGCCCACACAGCCCTTAACGTGGGAGCAACAAGTTGATAAAATAATTTCTTTAGTATTTTTATCAAAGCTTATATTCATCAACAAATTTCATTCAATAAATTCTTATTTTTCGAAAATTAACCCCAATCAATTTAAGGGGGCTGTAAACTTTGTAGGGTCATAAAAACTTAAGAGGTTATTGCATGAAATTTGTTGATGAATATAAACTTAGATAAAAATACTAAAGAAATCATTTTATAAACTTGTTGCTCCCAAGTTAAGGGCTGGGTGAATCCAAAAATTGTTTCTTTTTGTCCCCAAGCTCCAATCACCACTACTCTTTGCAAAACATTCTCATTTAACATAAGTATGAACATACAAAAGTTTGGAGTTTGCACAATGCGTGTAAGTGTTAAAACTCAAACATCTAAAAATCCAGTGTACACCACTGATATATATAGCTCTAGCTTATTTATTGAGCACTATTTAATGTATACAAAAATCTATGATAATAATTAATCATTTTACTTCGATTTTTTTATCATATGACTTGGTATCTTGCCTAAAGTTCTTTCCATCATTGCTAAATGTTCCCGATTATCATGCGTCTAAAAAATAAATATTACTCACATTAGTAATAGACACTAGAGCATAATTAGTTTTCGACAGATTTAAAAAGAAATTTTTGGCTATAAAATGTAATATATATACACGGGGCTCGAAACAACAAACTTTTTAGTTCTGGACAATTTGTCTAATAAAAACTCAAGTTTAATGGACATGCCTGATAAAACCTAAAGAAATACGATTGAACATTATTTCTGACGCATAAAATATTAAGTTGTTGGTCAATAACTTAACCACAGCAGTTTCTTTTAATAACTTATGGTGTTTCAATGCGCTGAAAATAAAATAAAAATAAAGAAGATAGCATATCTAATCGTTAGTGCAAAATCTATTCAAACTTTAGTGCAAAACAAATGTTATGTAATATAAGACATCATCTTTTCACAACTGAAACACCCTTTATTTTAACATTTGTTTGTTGGCATTATCTATAACTTATGCCATTTTTAGATATTAAATTTTCAAAATTTAATTCAAAATAAAAAGAGCACTAAAAGTGAAATTCCCTCTGAAGTTAAACGTTGTAGTATGCCATAGAGTGCTTCAATGCAAAAAACAAAGAGGAATTTTGAAACAAATTCTAGAAAAATTCTTTTGTGAAAATCATGAGAAATAACTTTCTTATTTTTCTTTTTACCTTGTAAATTACATTGAGTGTTGAATAAATGAAATAATAACTCAAATTTAATAGTGTAATAAAAATTAGTGGTTTCTATAAGCATTAAAAACTATTACATTAGAATTTTATAAAATAAATTTAGGAGTTTTAAAAATTTGTTTGAAATTTATAAGAAGCACCAGACAAAAAAATAAAATTAATACTGAAATACAAATTTGAAATAATTTAATGCAACATTTTAATATATATGACAAAAACCAAGCTGTTTAATTCAAAAAAAGGCGCCATGAATTAGCTCCAAAAAATGATGCATTTTATTCACGTAACTGTGTGTTCAATTTTATTTTCTATAGTTTAAAAAAAAAAGTTTAAAAAGTTTATGTACAATACTGAATTTAATAAATTTAGAACAATTAAAATGATTATCAAATACATGCACACAAAATATGGGTCAGACAAAATGACTGATATGTGTCTTTATTTTAATGGACAATGTCCGATGTCCAGCAGCTATTTTGAGCCCTGTGTGTATATGTATACAAATACACATCATTTTATTAATATTATTAAGGGGTCAGCTATTTATGAAACCACTATATCTCTACAACTTATTTGTTTTTTTTGTTTAATCATTTTTAGGTTCAAACTAATTTATCTAAGTTTAAATTATAAGGTTAACATTTACAAATTCTATGACTGTTATCAATGCATTGGGTCAACAATGTATACTGCATGTTATAACTTGGGGCTTTTGAAAGACAAATTTATTTTTTGCTCAAAAAATATACATGAATTAATAGAATAAATAACATACGAATTGTATAGTTATAACATTTTCAAACATTTTAAGATTTTGTTTCTAGCTTCTTGTAAATATAAACTGATACCTGAAACAATGTGTTGCCAGTATACACTTCATAGATAATACAACCACAACTCCAAATGTCACATGGTTGAGACCAGCCTAATTCTAAAAACAAATGTAATTAGTTTATAACAGAGTATTACATACCAAAAATATTAGCAGGCTAGTGGCATACTCAAAATAAACATTAAATCACTTAAATAAAAAAGGAAGTTTTATTTTTGAATGAAAAAAGACAAAAAACAACAGCATGAAAACGACAAAAGAATAAAAAATAAATTGACTAAATATATTACCTAATACAACTTCTGGAGCGCGGTAATGTCTTGTAGATACAACAGTACTATGATGTTCATGGTCAAATGTGGCAGAGCCAAAATCAATTAGGCGCATTTCTGAGCTATGCAGTATCCGAACTTCTTGTCTCTAAATAGAGTAAGTTAGGACCTTATAACATTAGTATAATATTTTTGCAAATAAAAAGAAATTAACTTAGAAATTCAGAAAGCATATTATTTCTAAAAAAAAAAAAAAAAGCATATTTGTATAAGTTTAAACCTTAAGTATTTTAAAACTACTAAAGAAAATAACCTACTCTAAGATAGATAAGGTAGAAAGAAGAAAAAACAACAACAACAACAAAAAAAACAATAGCTAAAAAACCTTAGCCCTCTAATAATATAAAATCAATTAAATACCACAACTAGGACATTTATGCTTAATAAATTAAAATTAGCAGTTACAATATATACTTTAAAAACAAATAATCTATTATCTATACAAATTTAACTTTTTCTTGTAGATTTTGATTAAATTTTTAATATTCAGCATATTTTTTATATAGCATATAATAAATGGCTGCATTATAAAAGTAGCTTAGACATTGCAAGCATATATTTTTTAGATGGCAAACTCTTAACCATTATTTGTAAAAAAGTTTAAACACTTATTTGTAAAAAAGTTTAAACATTTGTAAAAAAGTTTAAAAAGTTTAATTATAATTAAATATAACAGAATTAAAGAAAAACAAAAAATACACAGGCAGTAAAAAAACTCAAACATATACCAGGCCTTATTATAAAATGGGAGCGATTGCTCTATGCAAGTGAAACAGGCATGTAAAACAATTGGGCATGATAAACAGTTGTCACTAACCTAGTAACAAGATAATAAAATAAGGAAAAAACCTTTTTAAGGAGCTATAAACTATAATAGGGAGAAACTATTATTTACGTAACTTGACAAAAAATATCTTTTATAATCTTTTCAACAAACCTTGTTTAATTAAACAGTAAAGTTTAAATATTAAAAAAAAAATTAATTATACAATCATTATGCATATATTTTTAATTATAATAAAATATTAATGATAAATTTATTGATCAAATATATGCAATTGATAACCAAAAAACATCAACTCACAGATTTTTCATTCCAATGGGTATCATATGATGAATCAACAAACAACATATTTTCTGGTTTTAAATCAGTATGAGTAAGTTTAATACTGTGCAGAACTGTTTAAAAAATCAACACATAAAAATAGCAATTACACATTTGAATAAAATGCAAATTTAAAGCAATAAAAAAATTTATAAATCACTATCAAATTTATAAATACACTTACACTTAACAGACGATAACAATTGATAGGCAATATGTTGGGTATGAAGCATTGGATAAGGTTGATATAAATTTTCTTTCTGTGTAAAGAAAACATTTTGTCAAATTATTGTAAAAACCAAAAAATCATTAAAATTATTTTAAAAAATTATAAAAATTATTGTAAAAACCAAAAAATCATTAAAACTTTTAATCCATTTATCACAATAACTTTTACCATCAAATTTAATCGTTTTTAATTAATATAATAAATACAATTTTAAGTCTTTTTTTCCCCTTTGCATATGCTGTGCTACTTTTTTGAAGATTTAAATTTAAAGAGATAATAAAAAAAACTTAATAGAGATGCTTAGACAAAGAGAAAACTTTTAGTTGTTTGATTTACTCTAAACATAACTAAAAAGTCATCAGTCACACAATTAACTGTTTTCACAATACTTTCACCATAATTACAAAATAAATTTTTCGATAAAAAAAAAAAAAAAAAAAAACATACTGTTAAATAATTTCTTTTAATACCTGAAATTGTCTAGATTGAGTTAAAAAAAATAAAATAGTGTTTTTATATTTAAATTACAAAATTAAACTTTTCATCATTTTTTAAGTTTGTTAAAATTTTTATTTGAGTAATAGTTCTTTATGATTGAAACTTAACACACAAATAATTTAAGCCTAAAAATTAAAGAACTTATATTCTTATTAACATAATAACTTTGAATAAAATCAATGCATTTTTTAAAACTAAATCAATGCATATTATAACTCACAAATAACTAACCTTCAAATTACCCACGTTAATTTGTTTAATATAATGCTTGCGCACAGTTTTTCATTCAATTAATAAAAAAAAGAAGTTTGATGTTATCCAAATAATTTGATGTTAATTTTTTTTTAATATCAAAACATTTTATACATTAAAAAAAAAAAAAAATTGAACTGAATACTTAATACTAAAAAAAAAAAAAAGTTTTATAAATTTTATTGAAAAATGAAAGCATTTTTTGACTCTTTTCATTCGCCTCCATTAAAATGGGTTGATGTTTGATGATCATATTACAATTCAATAATAGAAAGAAAAGGAAAAGTGTAAATGAGCAATTATAATTTTAATTTATTCAAAAACAAATATTTTACTTTTTAAACTTGATACTTAGTACTAAGAAAACAATTGTTTAATGAAACACTACAAAAAATACTAGCATTAGTGTATTTTCGAATATTTTAAAAAGAAAATGTCAAAAACAAAGTTTACTATTACTATATGACTTGATATTATCAAATACAATCTTATACTAGAATTGTTCGATATAACAGTAGAGCTTATACACTTCAGACAGTTATTAGGTTTTACAATAGCAAAACAATCAAACCCACACCCTTAACTAAAACCCTTTAAACTTTTTTTTCTCATAAATAAATTGCTAAAACATACCAAAAAATCAAAAACACTCTTTCCAAGTTTAGGAAATGCAAGGCAAACATGTCCATGATAATCAAATGCACCAAGTAATTTAATACACAAGCTAAAAAAAAAAAAGAGAGAAAGTAATATATATATACGAGCACACGAAAATAACTAATACATGGAAATACATGGAAAGTTAAGCGCAACTTACTGTTTTCCTTCAGGATCTTTTTTCGACAATTTTTCTAAAACCTTTAATTCTAATTTAGCAGCTTCTCTGTATTTTTCAATGTTCTTTATAACTTTTAGAGCAATTACTTTGTCATGTTTCCTTAAAAATAATCAAAATGCTTAATTCAAACATTTATGTCAATAACAAATATTTTTATTTGTAAAAATTGCATTATTGTTAGAAAACAAAAGATATAATTCATACCTGTCATAACATTCTAAACATTTTCCAAATGTTCCTTCACCAAGCAATGACCAAATTTCATCTAAATACAAAAGTAACAGATAAACATATAGCTTATTATTTGCTCTTATATTAATAGACTAAAATAAAATGTTTAAATGTAGCAAACTTCTAATATGATCTAAACTTAGAAAAAATTGTTATTTTTTTTTTTCTTTGCACATGCTTTCATAAACTGTATTTTAATTTAGGCACTTAATTATAGATTTTTAAACAAGACGACTTATTGATACCGCATGTCTTGAATAATTAAATTCTTAGTACATCTATTTTGCAGCCAGTCTCCTGATCTGTATATAAGATGTCCATCTTTATCATCTTTCACTTGATGATTAGTACAAACAGTAGATTCGCTTGATGAACGACTGGAATGTCCGTTTTCAAGATTTCTTCGTCTTCCTCTATTCTCATTTTCGTGCAAATCTTTGTGCTTCTATGTTGGAATAATTGCAAGAAGAAACACGGATGACAAATTTATGTTGATGCAGACACATGCAGGTGTGAATTATGTGTTTGAAGTATAGATCAAATTCAGATCAGAAGGATAACAAGCATTGATGTTCATTGATCAGCATCAAAACATACATAGTGAGAAAAAAGGGACGAACGAAAAATAAGTGATGCACATTTTAAATAAATTATCGTAAATTGTCAAACAAATATGCCAGATATATAAAACAATTCAATATATGCCAAAACGTTTTGATCAAATTTGGAAAAACATTTTTTTAAATTATAGTTTTTGTTAAAAATATAAAATTAAATACTGATATTAACAAAAAGTAATTTAGAATTAAAAAGTATTCAATAGTTTAATACAAATTGCAAAAAAGAATTGAATTATAGTTTAAACAGTTAACTGGCATACTTATTTATATGAAAAACACCCTTTATATCTCACTAGTTGTTTAAAAATTTGAATAAAAGATATAATAGGACCAAGTTTCTAACTTACCTGTACATTAAAAATAGACAAATTGATAATTAACTAATCCATCACTTACCTTGTTGTAATACTGCTTAAGTCTTATTTCTCTGTCGTGAGAGCGTTTTAAAGCTCGAGTACCAGACGAGCCTCGATAACGCCTATGCCTTCTTTGACTTCTAGATGAGGAGCGACGACGACTGCTACTTTGTGATCTACTTCTACTTCTACTTCTTTTTTTATCATCTGAGCATCTTCTATGCTTTTTCTTACTATACGCATATTCATCTTCATCATTACGTAAAATATCGATTCGATTAGACATCTTCATACCTAAACAAAATATGTTCTTTAGCAGAAACAAATACAAAATGCTACTTTAGTTCACTACTAATTGTAATCAGCGTCAAGCGGGAAGTGTAACATAAGCAGTAACAAGGAGTCAAAAAGATAAAACGCGGATTATTGAGCATTCTGCGGGAAGTATTTTATAACCGCGGTAAAATTTTTCATGCAATCATTACACCAAAACAGTCATTTCCTTAGTAACGCTACAGATGTAAACGTGACTCCTATTCACTAAAACTATACAAATGGCGCTTCCTTTTTTACCTGGAAACAGTTTTGCTGATCCAAATGTAAGCACTTTCTAAATTAATTTCTTGTATTTAAAATGGTTTTTATTTTATACATCTACAAAATGTTATACAAGCTATATGATAATGATATATGTCATTTATTACCGAGTCATGTCATACCATGTGATATCAATTATATATATTCATACGTAGCATGAAAATTTTAAAATATTCATATACTAAAATGTTATATATCAATAGAAAGTATTATTGGTAGAAAGTATTATTATCACATTATTATAAAACGTGAATACATTAGCTTAGGAAATCCCCTCCATCCTAAGTAAAGTAAAAAAAGAGACAGTGATTTTTTATAAATAATTATATAAATTAATATAAAAATAATATCAGAAATAACGACGGATGTGTATATCAAGCACCCCCTTTTAGTAACTCCGTAAAGATGTTTTATACGAAATGAGTATTGTTGAAAACCATAACCTAACCAAACCCTAACCCTGACCCATAAGGTTGGGCTCAGGGTTTGGCTTAGGGTTTAGTTAGGGTATGGCTTTCAATAAAATAAACTTTAGTTTTGGGTTCAGGGTTGTAGTGTAGTAAGGGGGTGGCTGAAATACATTTTTGCTGAAATAACTATAAAAACATATCTTACCACATTACAAGATATTATCTAGATATATATTACTCTAGATATATATTACTCTAGATATTATCTAGAAATATTTTACCACACTACAAGACTCTATCTTCCAGTCAGGCCCGTTTTTAGGTTATCTTGGCCCCCAGCGAAATAACGATTATAGCCTCTCTATTCACCCCCCCCCTCACATCTGTTCCAAAAAAATCCCAGTAAATTTAAAAGATAAATATAAATAGTTAATCCAAAGAATTTACAAGGGACAATCAGATCTTTTACACTTTACATATATTTAAAGTAGGGTGAAACAAAATATAGACATTTCTAAAGAATAAATTGATTTCATCTTGGTTAAATTATTACACTATTAAGTAGATTAATTATTTTGATATCTTGTGGCAGCTTTTTAAATTAGCAAAATGATTGATCACACCTTCTACGTTAGTTTCTTTTGGAGTTACATTTCAGTTTGAAGAACAATTAGAAAGTATAGACTTTTTCTTTCCACTATTAGACCTGTAGCTTTTCTTTTAACTTTTTAAGTTGAGAAGGCCTTTCTTAGGTGTATTTTGTAACAGCAGCAGAGAAGAAAATTAGTAAAACAACTTTGACATTAGGAAATGTGGGTTCAATTTCTTTAATCCTATAACCAGATGATTAAAGAAATTGAATCCACGTTTCATGATTAAAGTAAACCTAGATGATTTGGTTTTCTAGTTTTACCGATACTAATTTTAATTGGAAGCTCTTGTAATGCACACATTCTTTTAGAAAATAAATGTCCGCATTGTTTGAATAAGTTTATAAAAGATCTTAGGCATACAATTCTGCAATTACATCGCATGATCAAAAACTTTTATAAATCTATCCAAACAACGTGAACATTTATTTTCTAAATAATGTTTGTGTTAAAGTACAAAATTTTTAAAGTACAAAATGATAATCAACAACATGACATCAATTTGCCATGTTAGTGTTTGTGTGTGCTCTATTTTGTTTTTGGTCCGCAGAGCCTTTATTACTGCCCTTTAATATTATAGCTTCTTTTAAAAATTTGTCAAAACAGAGTGCTATACCATTTATTTACCACTGTCAAATTAATTTCAACTGTTTGAAGTATTTTCTTTACTTTGTTTGACCTATTCTAACATAGTACATATTTTTGTTTTCCGAGGTAAACTTGAAAACTATGTTACTTAAAAAAAAAAGTAAAAATAAACTTTGTTTATAATATTTGTAACAGTGAGCTTAGCAAAAAAAAGTAATTTAATAAAGATTTATGGTCATTTTAGTGAAAAAAAATGTTTTTAAATAAAAAACACACGCTATTGCAATTTATTTGAGGTCTTTTGACGTCATATTACTTTGTACAACTTTTAAATTGATATTGCAAAAATTGGGTAATTTAATTCATTAAAAATTATTTTTTATTAAAATTTTTTTGTTTTATTTTTCAACTTTTACTTTTACACCACTAAAATTAGCATAATATATTTTATGCTAATTATTATATATTAAGTGGGTTATGTAGTAGCTATATGACAGGTTATGTAGTAGGTATATAACAGATTATGTTGTAGCATTTGTATAAAAGCTATGTAGTAGGCGGGTAGGTATATAGGTACTACATAGCCTTTGGGGCTATGTAATACCTATATATTGGGCTATTTAAAAGTTATATACCGGGCTATGTAGTAGTTATATCCTAAAAAAATAAAAAATAATTCAGCCAAATTAAAACTTGGACTAAATCTTCCTCATGATTGTGTGTGCTATCCTACAAATTAAGTTAAGGTGGATAACTTTTGACTTTGAAATTAAGCTAAAGTTAAGTAATGTACTTTTAGAATTTTTGTTTTTACATCACTAACATTAAATATTTTATAAAAATTTATTTAAAACATATTGTATTATACATTTAATATTGGTAGAGATGTAGCTGGTTGTTTTGTTTTTTCAAAGCTACTGCATAAGTATGCAGCGAGCTACATACTTCGGCTATGTTTTGGGACACACTATGTAGAAGCAATGAGCATGCTATTTAGTAGTTATATAACAGGTTATGTTAGAGCATGTTGCTTCCAACAAGGCTGCAAGCAACCACTAATTAGTGTTGGAAGTTACTGGAAGAAAAAAAATGAAGATTGTAGAGCAAGATAACGATTGACAGACGACTTAAAAGATTGCAAATTATATGAATCAGGAAAGCAAGATGAAGGAAGTGAATTCCAAAGAACTAATGTTCGGGGAAAAAAACTAGATGAATATAAGTTATTGGATCACTAAGGAACAGTAACAGAAAAAGGATGAGACTTAATTGAATGACGAGTAACACGAGAATGAATTTTAGTAGATGGCACAAGAGACGCTAGATCTTTAGAGCAGTGCCCATTATAGTATTTGTAGAAAAGAGAAAGAGAAGCAACATTACGACGATGTGACAGAGGTTGAAAGTTGGCTGCAAGAGTAGGTCCAACTATGTTTACAATGCGTTTTTGCACCTTGTCTAAAAGAGAAAGGACATCATTAGAAGATCCACCCCCAGATATGGCAACAGTATTCCATACAAGGCCGGATTTGAGGTTTATAGAGATAGAGAATAGAATCCAGAGTAAGAAAGTGATGAGGATACACATGTAATTAATTTTAAAATAATACGAGTATAAAAAAACAACAAATGTAAAATTGCATTTTTAAATAAATTTTTCTAATAAAATAAATTTTGACTAGCTGAATTTTTGGTTTCGGTAAAATTTTTGCTAAAATTTCGGTTTTGGTTTCGGCTCCAAAATTGAGTACCCGAAATTATAGTTTATTTTGGTTTTGGCTTTTTTTCTGTTTTGGTCAATCACTAGTTATTAGAGTTTTTCAAAACTTTTATCTTTTTTACTCTTAGATTTATAAATAATGTTGTGTTTCAATTAAATACTATTTTGTAGTATTTCTTTTTAGACTTTTTTTACTTTTAACTTTGCCTTATTCTAGAGTCCTGTCATCTTACCCTTGTTTTTATTATATTTAAAATCCAGTCTTGTGTATTGTTTTTAAATTGTTTTTTTAATGGTTTTATTATTTTTTACCTTCCTTCATTCAATAAAGTTTTCATATTATACTAGATTTTAGAGGAAACTTATATTATACAAAGTTATTTGCTGTTATAGTTATTTCATAAATCACATACACACATATTAGTACCAATTTGCGTTATTGAGTGCAGAGTATGTTGGGTAAAAATAAAATTTAACTATTTTAAATCTAATATCTAATTTAATCTAATATCTAACTTTAATTCAATTTATAAAATTTATTTAAGTTATTTATGAGTTTAAACAAGAAATAAGTAATAAATCTATGCAAAATTTATTAAAGAATTTGATAATCCTAAATTGATAATGAAGATTTTTTTTTTTTTTTAATTACATTAAATAAAAGTACTTATTTTTTTTTATTACAGAAAACCAGGTACCATCTTTCACAGACATTAGGATATAAAAATGGATATATTATTCCAAAAGTTCAGGATACCAATGCTTTAACAGAAAATGATCTTGATGAGTTAGCTAATTATCAACCAACATTAACATATGGTAAAAAAAAAGAATTCCCTATGGAGCAGTTTTTACCGGCTCATGTTATTTTCGATAAAAAGGTGCTGATGTTTAAAGCATTTTTTAAACAAACTGTTCATGAATCACACGATGAGTTTTATTGTGTGCGCCTTGTAAAAATATATTATTACTTAGAAGATGATTCAATAATGATTTCAGAGCCAGTTGTAGAAAATAGGTGAGATTTTTGCTGTTTATATCAAAATTATAACAAAAGTAAGTATAATGTTATTAATTTTTAGTTACTTTAATGTCATTTTAAATTTAATAAATGTTTATTTGATTCATTATGTAACTATATTTAGTGGGATTCCTCAAGGTAAACTAATTAAACGGCAAAAACTTCCTAAAAATGAGTTTGGAGACACTTGGCACTGGAAAGATTTTAATATTGGTGCTGAATTGACAATTTACGGAAAGACATTTAAGATATATGACTGTGACGAGTTCACCAAGGTTTTTTTGTTTTTCATGAAATATGATATTTTTAATTTTATTTTGTCATATGCATGGCTTATAGTATATATGTTTAGTTTTATTTTATGTTATAATTTCATCATTTTTTTGAACATTTAAACAGTATTACAACATTTTTATAAATGCTGTTACTATGTAAGGAATATATGGCATCAGAAGGTATTGTATTAAATCAACCAGAGGAATGCCCATCTGATCTCTACAACATATCTCGTGAACAACCCCATCGCTCATACAAAACTCCAACTCAATTTGACAAGTTGAAGCAGTTTATTGAATTGGATAGAAAAGTTTTACGTTTTTTTTGCATATGGGATGACAGCGATAAAATATTTGGAGAAATAAGACCATGTGTAAGTGACTTTTTTATTTATTCTTGGTCTCCTTGAAGGAGATTTATATTAATCTCAATTGCATAAAAGTTGAGTTGTGAGCTTAATTCATAAATTATTATACCACCCTATAATATCAAATTATAAGATAATTTTAAATAATAACAAAAATGTAACATAAAATAAAACATAACTAACTAAAAAAAATTTTTAAAGAAAAAATGTTAAAAAGATTAAAATAGATTTAAACCCGGCTAGAAACTCACTAGTGTATTTTAAGGAATCTTTTTGCACAATGGAACAAATTTGAACTCATCCTTGTAAGATAACCTGTTTACAATAATATATTCTTAAGTAATTTAAAATAATAAAATTTTAATTATACTGTGCGCTGCCCTTGTTAAAAGAAATATGTCTCCTATGACTTTTCTATATAAAATTTATTAGCTAATTAAAATTATGATTAAAATAAATAAACTTACTTATAAATTCAAAATAAATTTTTTAATGCTGTATTACTTTAGTTAATGATTAGTTAAAAAGTTTAATTTATTTGAACGACATCATTATGTTAATAATTATGAAAAATATTGAATAATTATTTAAATTAACAGCCTTTAAAATTATTAAAAATAATTTGTACAACTTTTAATTATACAATTGTCTGTTAAAAGGTTAGGAAAAAAGGTTTACTTTTTCAATTAATAAAAACAAATGTTTTTGTATAGTATTTATAAAATATTCAAAAAGTTTAGCTGAGTGGTCGCTTAATAGTACCATTTTAGGTGTCAGTAGTACTACTATAAATACATTTTTATTATACCACATAAATATATTGTGTTATTATCAACAATATTTTTCAAATTAATTACTTCAGAATTTGTATCATGTTAAATCAAATTGTCTTCAATTGTTACACTTTTTTTTTTAATAAAAGGCAGAATACTAAATTATAATCAACAGCTTTCTTAAGTTTTTTTATTAATAAATCCATAGTATCCAAGAAATTAACAGAACACATTGGTCCTTGATCTATAAAGAATGTATTTGTTTTCATCAATTACTTTTCTTAACCCAGAAGTAGAATGTTTATCTAAAGATTATAGTTTTAATTTTGACAAAATTTTGTCATTACACCCAGCTGAAATAATGTAGATGTGATTTCAGTGAATTGTGGTTAATCTTAACTTTTTGTCTTCATTTCTTGCATTAGATTTATGCATTAAAAATATATCATTTATGTTTATAGGTATTCATTACATACATTACACACAACCTCCTAGATCATCAATAAAATACTTTTATAGAAGCTTTGATGTTAATGGATTTATAAATGCTTTTATGCAGGATTCTAAAACAAATTTTTGACTGCTTTTCATAGATTGGTACATACCTGCATATTATTGTTCATCATCATTATATTTCATCATCCTCATTTTCCTCAAAAGCAATACCTGCAATTCTGGTGAGCCAAACAGTTCATATTTTATACATTGAATGAGGTATATGTACTTCATTCATTTCAATGCTTTTTGAATCTACTAACCACACTTTTCCTGTCATTCTGAAGAAACAGGTTAATCCACTGTTAGATATCCAAGTCACTCCTGCTTCTATTACTAAAGTTATTTCTTACTTAAACTGCTCTACAGCTTGTGGTCTTGACAACATTCTCGTCACAGTTTTAAAATTGTGTTCTCCAGAACTCATTATAATACTATCTTTATATCATTGTTCATACTATTATTGTTCATACTATCATTGTTCATACTATTATTGTTCATACTATCATTGTTCATACTATTATTGTTCATACTGTCATTGTTCATACTATTATTGTTCATTCTATCATTGTTCATACTTCATACTGTATTATCATACTTCATACTGTCATTCTTCTTACTATCATTACCAAATTCTTTAAATCTTTAATTAACAAACTTATATTTCACCTTGAGTCTAACAGTTTACTCTATGCCAATAAGTATAAATTTCTATCCTTTTGTTTTAGTGTTGAACCTTTATGTTATAATTGTTAACCATTATAATAGAAAGGTTCTATTGTGCATTAGAAATGGGAAGGCAAGAGCTAATGCTCTTGACATATCAGAGACTTTTGATGGTCAAAAGTGTCTGATATGTATGCTAGTTTTTTCCATAACCTTGCTTTATGTGTTGCATTTGTTAAACTTTTTGAAATTATTTAATTTTTTATTTCTATCTGCAGTTGTCGTTGATGGCTGACATTTTTCTTCATTTTTAGTAACTTCCTTGATTCTGTGTTGTTTCTTATTTATATTTAAAGATAGGCAGTATCAGCCCAGAAAAGCCAAGTAAAATGAGGGAAGACTTAGATAAACAAGAATTACCTTAAATATATAGAAACCCAGTTTCTATATATTTCAGCTAATTTTTGACGGACAACTGATTTTATTTATTATCATAATTAAAACCAGTTTTTCGTTAGCTAACCCAACTTTTTCTGAAACAAGGATATCATCTATATTTAGATAACTATTTAACTAAAGTTGGTTTTTTTGAATACTTTTATGAAAATAAGGTTTACAAAACAGGTACCGCATGAGTTCATTGTAGTCAATTTCCAAAATATCACTATACTTCCAGTTGCTTCAAGGGTAAAGGGTGTAGGTTCTGGCCAGATAAGCAACATTTGTAAGGAAGGAGGCCGGAACCTCTTAGTTAAATCCTCTTCCATGGTGCACTTTGATAAGACTGTAAGGACTTAGATCACCTTAAATATTACATTAAAAAAAGAGTACCTTTATGAATATAAAGTTTACAAAACAGTTACCGCATGAGTTCATAGTGATTAATTTCCAAAAAATCACTGTACCGTGGTTTCAACTTCAAAAATGAAGTTGCTTTGAGAGTAGAAAGTGCTGTATATCACATTTAAAAAGTTGTTAACATGGTTTATGTGAAGCAAAATAGGGTTATTAACATCAAAATGCCAACATGGGAGTTGTAGGTTCTGCAGAGCAAATCTAGTGTTATAACTTTGAAAGAAAATTTTTATGTAAAAGTAAATGGTTTAGGTAATTCTTTTACCACCAATTAGAAATATTATGATCGCATAATGCTTTTGTATTTGCGTCTTGGTTTACTGAACGTGATGCCCACATTCATCAAAGTTTTTGTGAGTAACTTAATAAATTAATAGGAAATACTTGATTTTAAGTAGTGGAAGATCTAGTAGTTTAAACGAATACATCAAGTTATATCTTGAAAATGTTGGAGTTCATAAACCTTTGGTAAGCGGTAATAAATTAATAGGAAATACTTGATGAAATACTTGATCTTAAATAGTGGAAGATCTAGTAGTTTAAATGAATACATAAAGTTATATCTTAAAAATGGAGTTCATAAACCTTTGGTAAACTGTAAGTCAAGAGATTGTAAAAATTGTTCTTATTAATATATAATTACCCAGCACTGGATAATTAGATAGGTAGGATTAAAAGCTCAGACAAGCCTAGTAAAATAAGGGAAAATTCTGAATTAGCTGCAGCTAATTCAGAATCATATTTGGATATCTTAGCGCCAGCTCTTTTAATTTGCATTAATTCTGCCATACATTTGCATTACTTTTTAATTTTATCATAAATTTTCATCAAACAAACATTTTGTGCTACTATATTCATTTTCTTTAGCTTGCCCATAATTACCCACTGGTAATTCATCTGTTTGCTTTATAGCAACTGGTAAATCATTGGTCTACTTACTTTCATTAGTTGCTGATAATGCTAGTTTTGCACATTTCATTTACACACACACTAAGGCACAAGAACATTATATTATATGGCCATCACTTGAATATTCGATTGTTATCTTGAGAAAAACTAAATACTAATTTAAAGTTTAAATTAATCTTGGCTTTATTAATCATTTTAAAAAGACAATTAAAGTGACAAATTGAACTTCATCATATATGGTCTAAAACAGTAGCATATAACTATTTTTTGTTTTAATTTGTTTGTCATAAAATATAAGTTAAAAAACTGTTACAAAATAAAACATGTTAAAAACCATGAAGAAAACAGTACTAAGATAATGTCAAATTAATGAGATAAATCAAACATATATTTAAGTTTTGAAACTTAAAAATAATTTTTATGGTTTGAACTAAAGTTTCCACAGTGTAACCCACTACTGTGTTTATACAAATTTTTAATATGAGATTTTATGCAAAAAATCTTTTTCTCATTTAAATTCTTTGAATTAAGAGTCTTACTGTTTTATTTTAGATTTTACATTTTTTTTTGGTTGATAATACTATGGAAATTCGAGAAATACATACTCCTAATGATGGAAGAGATCCATTTCCAGTTTTTATTGGTAGAAGAAGAATTCCTATTGACTTGAATAATATTCCTGGTAAAAATAAACTATATTATACTTATAACTATGTTACTCTCAGGTCCTTAATACAAAGTGCGGTGGGAATAAAAAGGTGGGGTAGACAATTTTGTCTAGATCTCATAAACAAAGGGTCTTGACAAAGAGGTGGGTGGGAATTTAAGCTACACCACCAATACCAATACAACCCCTCATTTATTAAGTCTGATAAATGAGAGGTTGTATTGGTAGAAGGTGCTGTAGCTTGTGGCCAAAACTTTTATTTTATAACAGCTGTTTTATCATAATTTCAATAAGATTTAATATGCTATATATAATTTTTATACTATGCACAGTGGTCTAAAATGCCAAAAAATCTGGTCAAAATAGTAATTTTAGAAAAATTACTATTTTTTCTTTCTTTTTTTTAAAAGAAAGAAAATATGAGTTCTTAGTTCCTAACCTCTACTGTATTAAGTTTTTTAAATTAAGCGATGTAATTTGCCCAAAAAGTGGTTGTTATGGAAACCGTTTCACCCTAAAATCAGTGTTATATAATGCGACTTCAGTATTTGGGTTTATATATGTGTTATATATGTGGCTTTAGTATTTGGGTGGGTTCAGTATTTTTTCTAGTTTGAGTTATGTAACTTCTAGGTTGGTTTTAAACTCCAGCTATTTGTATGTTCATTCTTATGTCATATAAAGATGTTTTCCCAAAAATTGCATTCTCTAGAGCCTGGGAACCAAAAATACCAGAAAAAGTAGGCAACAACTGCCCACTTGTGAGGGGAATAGGTTTTTGAAAATATAAATTCTAATATCCTAAACTAAGTGAAAATATCTTAAAGGTTCTAAAGTTTTATTTAAAAAATAATATTTTGTTTAGAAGTTTTATCTAATTTTAATTTACAGCATCCTGGTTTTGAGGGTTGTAAACTTTAAATAGTTATAACTTTTGAATGCTAGATGATTTTTTGATGAAGTTTCAAATATACATACAGACTTTAGTCTTATTTAAAAATTTTTTTTTTTTTTCCGGAAAAACCTATCCCCCTTTTTTAGGGCATTTTGGTTCCCAGGCAATTTTTGGCAAAGCATCCTTAATGACATATTAATGAGCATACAAAAGTTTGGTGAAGTTACATGAAAGTTATTTAACCCAAACACCAAAATGTCCTAGATCCACTCCTATTTGCAAAAGCAAAAACCTTTTTTTAAAGAACTTTATTTTACTAGAATTGAAAGTTGAAGAAAATAAAAGATATCTTTGTAAAACGCAGGAATATTTAGTCAATATTATTAATTATTAAAGACTAATAATTGAACTATAATAATTTTCAAATGTAGTTGCTAACATATTTTATCATTTTTTTGAAAGCCTGCTTATAATTAAGTATAAATTTGTTATATATATTGAAAGTTTACTTATAATTAAATATAAGTCATTTAAAACACATTACTTAAAATAACAATCAATATGGACTTAAGATGTTGAAATATATTTCTTTTATCATTTGCATTTTTAAGTACCTTCTTAGCATACTTAATTTCAGTTATAAGTTTTATCAAGTTAACATTTTATTTGTAAGTAATTTTCTATGAAGTTAATAGTCTTATACCGGAGATTAAATATAAGAGTGATAATTCCGTTATAAACAATGTTTAAATGACTGCTACATTTAAAAAGGCTGAGTAATAGAAATACTAGTTATGCGTCTCAAATGACCAGTATGTGTACTCTTACTATGAGTAACTAAATTTAATAATTAAAAATTTGAGTTTTAACTTAATAATTCCCATAAATAATTCGCACTGTGTTGTATTGTTAAATAAACACAACTAATAGAAAAATGACAATATATAACATCTTTTATATTTATTATATATAATTGCCACATATATATAAAAAACTGTTACTGTTCATCCGCAAATAACAAAGTTTTATATCTTCACATCCCTGAAATGTATTGGCTTTTGTCCCCTTGTCGACCATGTACTTCTTCGATTCTAGGTATGTTCTTCTTCAGTTAAAAGTAGTTTGGACGTATCAAGTTTATCACTAATGGTAAGATCGATTTTCTCATTACTGATGGGATCATAATGTATACTATCTTCATTATTCAAAACTATATTAGAGTTAGTTAGGCATTTGTATATTTGGTCTGTATGCTAATGTACCTGAAGAATTATTCCTCAATATGATTGCAGTATTTTGCCCGGCCTGAAAAATGAATAAAGCATGCTCAGATTTTGAATCTGGTCTTTGGCTATACTATAAGGGTAATCCACTTAAAGCTCATAGGGAGAGGAGATCGTAACTGCCTCCCTATCATCTCAGAAGGACTCCTTAAGACACTTTGTAGTACTGCCTTCACTGTGGTAGCTTCATGGTTATTTATCTTAATAACTTCAGGCCATCCAGAAAATGTATCTACTAGAATCATAAACAGTCCAACACCCTGTACATTGGCATGAACCATATGCACTCTGTACCAAGGTTTGTTTTCATTTGGCCATGTATGTAATGTCCTTTTTTTCTTCACCTTTATCTCTACACATTTTTCACAGTTTTTTTACATATTCTTCAACATCTTGGCAGTAGCCAGGTCACCAAGCTTCGAACTTTAATCTACATCAAGTTTGCATTGTGCATGTATGTCATCATGGACTGATTTGATAAACTTCTTTCTCATTGTTTTAGGAGATACAGTAAGATCACCATTACATACAATTCCCTTTTCAATAGTCAATTTGTTCCTGTTAGATTTATAAGGTCTTTCTGCCACAGTATCTGCTCCAATTATTTTAGCTTATTTTGATTTTGATATCCATCAATACTCTATCTATTTATGTTTCTTTAATTATCTGCTTAAGGTTTACAATATTTTACGCCACTAAGTATATAAAGGTTTCTTTGTCTTTTTCTTCATCTTGTGGTAGAAAGGGCAATCTTGATAATGCATTCGCAAGAGGAATATTCTCCTTTTTCATAACTTACATAGTAGTCAAATGCCATCATTTACAATGCCCATCTTAAAATTGTTGGTCAAGATTAGTGGTATTAAGTTAGTGGTATGCCATTTTTTAACAGTATATTTGCTTTGTAATTAATTAAACACCCATAAATAATAGGTTTAATACTAAATACATCCATGCCAATTAAACCATAGTTCTTTGACCAGTCTGCAACAATAATTAGTACAATATTCATTTTAGATTCAGTTTCCAAAGTTGCCTCAAATTCGCCGAGGAATTTAATAAATGTATCATCAAATTGTTTCAGTCTGAAATTTTTGTACTTTAGTTTAGACATTATTTCCCAAAAATTTTTAGGTATGATTGTGACCTGATTTCCGGTATCAACTTGTAAATCTCTGAGTTTGTATCATTCATGTTAATGGAATATACACTAGCGTCATCATTCTCTATTTTCTCTACTTTTCTTTCATACTTAATGTTTTTAAAGTGGTTCATTTTTCCACATTTTTTACAACTTTTCCTAAATGCTGTGCATTTTTTTGGTAGGTGTTGAAGGCCACAATATTTGCATTTAATTGTTTTTTCTTAGTTTTTATTGATATATTTAAATGAAAGGATGTCTATGTTTATCTCATCTTGTGATTTCTTTGATTGTGTGGAAGCTGATAAGCATCTAATCCATCCTTTTGTATTATCTGGATTATCTAAAGTCAAATTGGATCCTACTCGTAGCGCCATTGTCGTATCGTTAATAAAACATGACTAATAGAAAAATAACAATATAAAACATATTTTATATATAAGCCATCTTTTATTTTTATAATATATAATTGTCACATATATAAAAACACTGTTACTGTTTGTCCACATATAACAATGTTTTACGGCTTCACACACTGTACTATGGTGAGAAATATTATGTACTTGGTAGTGAAGCCAATTTCTTATTTTTGGTGAAATAAAGATTTACCAGATTTTATTTATAGGTCGACAATTTTTATAGCTTGATTACATTAAAAGTTTTTATTTTTTATCAGTGAGTTTATATTCTCTAATTTTTATAATTGGTTTACACCGCAAGTTTTTTTTTTAGTTTTGAGATTTTCTTTGTTGATTATTAACAAGTAAAAGTTAGAGATAAAAGTTGATATATTTCTCATAATTCAGTTTTCCAGTGATGAAGAACTTAATTCAGTTTTTAAATAATAAATAAAAAAATACTATTTTATACCCTGATATACTGTATTGTAAAACTTTAAATTTTGTGTGTTAAAGTTTAGGAAAAAAAAAATTTTTTTTCTTGGTTACTTCTTTAGTTTCCTTTCCTGCAATTTGTATGGAATTATCTGAAAATGAAATAACTGAATGGTTTGAACCAAAGCATTTCAAAATTGGGGAAACATTGTTTATCCTAGGGCGTCGTTTTCTCCTTTATGACTGTGACAACTTTACTAAATCTTACTATAGAGAAAAGTTCAATGTTCAAGAATTTACACCATTAGATGTAACAACAAAGGTTACTAACTTGAAGGAAAAGGTAAGTTAAAAACATTATTCTTTCACTGAAGTGTATTATCTAATATTAATAATATCTTAAATGTATAAAATCAAAATAAAATTTTAGCTGGACTACTTTTAAGTGACTTTAAAAAATATATGAAACAAATTAATAATTTCTTAAAATCCTTGAAATTTGTAGACATATTAGTGCATTTAAAAAATACTTAATTTTTATTTGAAATTAATATTATTTTATGCTGTTTGAGTATGTTTATTACAGTTTTTTTTTTACTAATGAATAATTACCAGTTTGCATATTTTGAATCTTTTTTTTAATATAAATTAGTAAGATGTTTATTAATAAACTTTTTGTAAATTCTTAACACTTCACTTTAAAAAATCCTACTTTAGTTTAGAAACTACTACTAAAAAATACAAATATATAAACAAATGTTGAAAAAAAATTTTACAATATTTTATTTTAAAATAATATATATTCAAAAAAAAAAAAAAAAATATTTTTTAATTTTATAATTTTCTTTCATTACAATTACAATAATAAACACAATTTGAATAACAATGATGAATTTCAATCATATTTTCATTGTCATGTTTTTTTTTTGTTTTTTTTTTTAAATATCTTTATTTTTTTTTGTTTGCCTTTTTCTCTCAAAAATCTGAATCAGAAAAGTCAGAAATTTCTACATAAAGATTATTTTGATCCCATTGCTTCATTAGAATAGATTTTGTTTTATTATATTAGGTGACATTTTTTTTTAATTTTTCCTAATAAAATGAAATTACATTCTTAAAAAATAGTTAAATAAAAAAATTATTTAAAATCTTCTAAATGATGATAATATAAACAATCTTCCAACTCGTATTTTATTTTTTCTTGTTTATCAGTAAGTTCATCTTTTAAATCTTCTAATTGTTTTAAACCATTTATGCAATTGTAAAAAAAGCTTAGCATGTGGCATAACTGGATTTAAATCATAAAAACATTTGAACTTGAAATTAAAACAAAAAAACATAAAGAGTTTTATAGTGATTGCAAATTTGATTTCTTTTGATAATATGTATATCTTCTTGAAAATTTAAAGCAAAAGCTAAATCTTTTCAAACATAATTTAATTTTTTGATAATCCATAATTCCAATTCTTCTTTCAATTCTTTTCCTAATTCGTTTTTTTTTTTTAAAAAAAAGTAATTTTTTTTTCCCTAAAAAAAAAATACATTAAAAAAACATAAAAAGTACATTTAAAAAGATATATATATGAAAAAATTACATTCAAAATTTTTTTTTTTTAACATTGATCACAAAATTCATTCAATTGATTTCATTTCTCTTTTGAATTCTCTTTTACTTAACTGACTTTTACTTAACAATTCGTTGTCTTTGAGCTTGACTTTGACTTTTTTCATAAGATGGAGGAGATTCTTCATGAATTATAACTTCTAATAACTTATTCATTTTTTAAGTAGAGTAAATGCATTAGTTTATATTGTTTGTTATTTTTTGTTAGTTTGTGTTTTATGTTTGTTCTTGTAAGTTTGTTTTTTCTCTAGAAAAAATATATTTATTTTACATGTTTAAATTAAAGTATATAAAAATATTTAAAAAAATTTATTTAAAAAAAATTGGCTAGAACAAGAAAAACACCTTTTCAATATAAATATGGTGAAATAACAAGAAAAAAAACAATGGCTACTCAAACAAATAAAAGACGTATATCTAATAATTGTAAAGAAGTGTTATATTGTTCATACAGCTCTGTATAAATGTTTATCTAAGGATGTATTTAAATTTTTTTTTTTTTTTTTTTGCTTTTATATACTCCAAGTGTTTTGTATTTGTATTTGTTTAGCAAATTCCTCCATATAATGGTTATGGGTCATTAGAAGATTCTTTACAATCATGTTTATCTTTAATACCCCAACCTCCAAAAAAAGATTTTATTAAAATTCTAGAAAATGCAAATAAGGTGTTACGTTATTCAGCTATTATGGTAAGTGGTAAATTGTTGTCCTAAAATATATTTGTAATTTTTCACTTAAATGTTAAAAAAGCCTTTTATACTATTTGTTTTGTTGGCTCAGCAACAAATAACTTAAATATTATTAAAATAATACTAAAATCTAAGTCATAGTTTTATTTAAATAAAGTTAAAATAATAATATTCGAACTAAAGTAGTTTTACCTAATTGCAAATGATTGTTTTCTTCTTTTTTTTATTAGTTTTTTTATTTTAGAAATCTGTTCATGCTGAAGATAAACTTAGACATTTTATCATTTCTTACTATCTTTCTGATGAAATGATAGCAATTTATGAGAAACCTCAGCGAAATTCAGGAATATTAGGAGGAAAGTTTTTAGAACGTACTCGTGTCCAGAAGCCAGGTTCACATGTTGACTCACCAGAATTTTATACACCAACAGATTTTGCCATTGGAGCAGTGGTGGAAATATTCAAACATAGGTTTATTATTACTGATGCAGATGAATATGTATTAAAGTACTTAGAATCTGGAAAATTTCCAATATCTACAATAAACTCTATTAGAATTAAACATGGTAAAGAACCTTTAGAAACCTTAGATGGGATTAATACTTCAAAAGAAAATGAGTCGAATACTAGTAAACATTATTCTGAAAGTCAATCAAGGTAGCTATAAAATTCGCCAGTTATTTTCATCTTTTATTTTTTTGTTTATTAACCTTAAGCACCAATATAACATGTAATGACAGAACTTTTAATTTTTAAGCATTATGGTGGTGGTGGTGGATGACAGTTTAATTTACTCTTCCTCCTTGTCATCTGATCCACTCTTTCTATCAAACCACTTTTTTCATCTGTGTAATTTATATATTTTAAGTTATATTAATATAGACTTAAACTTTCTTTATACATAAAATACATGATTATTGTTTATATATACTAAAAAAAAAATTTTTTTATAAAAAAATGAATGTAAAACTTAAATATTATGCAGCTACTTGCTCTTTGTGAGACTAATTTGAGTTCAGCTGTCACATCTTGTGATCTTAGTGTTGATGGTTATCTTCCTTTAATTTGTAAAGACTTCAATAGTCACATGCTTGGTCTAGGCATTTACATTCATAAGAATTCACCCATTTGTTGGGAAACTAGGTTTGAATCCACAGACTACTCTTTTATGTGCTTTTGTTTAGCACCACTTCACTCTATCACCTTTCTCTTTGTTCTATATCGCTCTCCTTCATCTCAAGACTGCACTCTTCTTGATGTTATTTCTGATTATATTGCCCTCATTCTTTATCCATCAGCCCTCATTCTTTATCCATCAGCCAATATTGTTGTTGTCAACAACAATACCAGCCCTCATTCTTTATCCATCAGCCAATATTGTTGTTGTCGGTGACTTTAATGTTCATCACACTAAATAGCTTGGCTCTAGTGTCAGTGACTCTGCAGGTATTAAGGCCCACAACTTTTGCCTTTCTCAATCCCTAACTCAAATATATTCAACTTTCCAACTCGCTTTCCAGACAACTCGAATCATTTACCTTCTCTACTCAACTTATGTCTTCTTTCTGATCCTAGTCAGTGCTCAGTTTCTCCACACTCACCCTTAGGTGCTTCTGATCATGGTTTGGTCTCTCTAAAACTATTATCTCATTCTTCTTTACCATCAGAATCCCCCTATCATCGTACATCTTACAACTACCTTAAAGCTGACTGGGACTCTTTCCGTGATTTTCTTCGTGATGGCCCTTGGGTAGAAATCTTTCGTCTTTCTGTTGACAAATGTGCTTCTTACATAACTTCGTGGGTTCAGACTGGCATGGAATCCTTTATTCCCTCTCGACGAATTCAGGTCAAGCCTCACTCTTCTACATGGTTTTCCTCACATTGCACTGCTGCAACTGCCAATCAAAACCGTTATTTCCATATCTATCAGCAAAACAATTCTCCAGAAAACAGACGTCTGTTTATTATTGCTAGGAACCATTGTAAAAAGGTTTTGTCTAACGCCAAAGTATGCTATTCTCAAATCATGAAATCTTGTATTTCATCGCAAAAATTAGGCTCTCGTGACTTCTGGAGAATCTTTAATAGTATCAACAATAAGGGCAAGTCTGTAATTCCACCTCTTTTGTATGGTTCAGACTTTCTACCTCTTATAGTCTTGCAGAAGTGTTCTCCGGAGCTATCGTCTATCCTTTCAAAACTATTTAACAAGTGCTTATCAGAGTCTTGTTTTCCAGGCTGCTGGAAAGCAGCATCTGTTATCCCTATTTTTAAAAATTTTGGAGAGCGATCCGATTTGTCTAGCTACCGTCCCATTAGTCTTCTTCCTATCATAAGCAAGTTTTTTGAATCTTTAATTAATAAACACTTAATCTTGAATCTCGAATCTCATAACCTACTTTCTGATTATCAATATGGATTTTGATCTTCTCATTCTACGGCTGATTTGCTAACCGTAATAATAATCGTAAGTAATAACCGATAGGTTTTATCACGCATTAGATAAAGGTAGAGAGGTTAAGGCCATCGCTCTTGACATTTCTAAAGCGTTTGATAAAGTTTGGCATGCTGGTCTTCTCCATAAGCTTTCTTCTTACGGTGTATCTGGAAACGTCTTACGGTGTCGTGGAAATTATTGAATCCTTCCTTTCCAATCGTAGTATAAAAGTTGTCCTCGATGGACAGCACTCTTCTTCCTATTCTGTAAGCTCAGGGGTTCCTCAAGGTTCAATCCTTGGCCCTATACTCTTTTTAATTTACATTAACGATCTTCCAGATATTCTCACATCTAAGGTGGCATTGTTTGCTGATGATACTGCCATTTATTCTTGTCACGATAAGAAGCTAACTCCCTCTGATTGCTTGCAGGGGGCATCTGAGCTTGAAAAGGATCTCACTTCTGCTACAGCATGGGGCTCACAGCTGGTGAACTTCAATTCAGATAAAACTCAATTTTGTTCAGCCAATCCATATTGCAATAATTTAGACCTTCCTATATATATGAACCGTAATGTACTTGATTAGTCTCCTACCCTTCATCTTCTAGGATTAACTCTTCTGATCTTTCTTGGAAACCTTATATCAAATCCGTTGCAAAATTAGCATCTGCTAAAGTCACTTCTCTTTATCGAGCTCGACACTTTCTTACTCTGGATTCTATTCTCCATCTCTATAAATCTCAAATCCGGCCTTGTATGGAATACTGTTGCCATATCTGGGTGGATCTTCTAATGATGCCCTTTTTCTTTTAGACAAGGTGCAAAAACGCATTGTAAACATAGTTGGATCTGCTCTTGTAGCCAACCTTCAACCTCTGTCACATCGTCATAATGTTGCTTCACTTTCTCTTTTCTACAAATACTATAATGGGCACTGCTCTAAAGAGCTAGCGTCTCTTGTGCCATCTACTAAAATTCATTCTCGTGTTACTGGTCATTCAATTAAGTCTCATCCTTTTTCTGTTACTGTTTTTAAGTGCTCCAAAAACTCTTATTCGTCTAGTTTTTTTTTCTCGAACATCAGTTCTTTGGAATTCGCTACCTTCATCTTGCTTTCCTAATTCATATAATTTGCAATCTTTTAAGTTGTCTGTCGTTATCTTGCTCTACAATCTTCATCTTTTCTCTTCCAATAACTTCCAACACTAATTAGTGGTTGCTTGCAGCCTTGTTGGAAGTGAAGATGTTTAATATATATATATATATATATATATATATATATATATATATATATATATATATATATATATATATATATATATATATATATATATTTATATATTTATATATATATATATATATATATATATATATATATATATATATATATATATATATATATATATATATATATATATATATATATATATATATATATATATATATATATATATATATATATGTATTGGTATATGTATATATATATATATATATATATATATATATATATATAAATATATATATATATATATATATATATATATATATATATATATATATATATATATATATATATTGTGGTGTAAGAAGGTTGTGAAAGTTGGGAGGGGGGGGGGGCTGAAAACATATGTTAAAAAGGAAAAAGTTTCTCAATTTTGTATGGTACAGCAAAATGATCTATTTATTAAATTATTTATCACACACAATATTATTACTCTTGGCGCTCCTTGTGGTTTTTATATTTTACCTTCAACAAATGTTTAATAGCTTTTGATAATTGTTAAGACAGTTTTACATTAATAATGTAATAAACTAAGTAAAACATGATTAAATATTACAATAATATAATTATAAAGTAATACATCAAATATAACATAATTTATTAAGTTCATAACACGTGAAACTAACTCTATGGTTTTCCAAAATATTGTTGACTGGCCCATCATTTACCAGCACAAATTCTTTAAAAATATTGTTGATGTCAACTTCTTTTAAAATATCGTTATGAATATGATTCACAATTGTGCTGTTTAGTATTTTTTGATTCATAGTAGAACGGAGATATGTTTTTAGCCTCCCTAGGCTGGAAAATGGTCTTTCTGTCGTTGCCGTACTGACCGGTATAGTAAGAAAGACTCTTAGAACTTTAAACACTTCATTAAACATTTTAGATGCATCATTTTCGGAAAATATTTCATCTAGTGTTAATATAGTTGTTGTCTTAGTAATTGGCTTTACTTTGTTGCTTTTGCTCTGTTTGGTTAATTTAGTTAGCATGTGAAGTTGCCATGTTAACCTTGCCCAGTCGATGTCAGGGTACATTTTTGACAGTGATTGATCTCGATAGTTTCTGACTCCAAGTTTGCCGAGTTCAATAAAAGGGTTTCCATATTAATGGCGTTTTTTACAGATGGCTGCTGAAACCTCAAGTCATGTTCACCAACCAAGAAGCCAATGACTTCATAAAACCTCCGTCATTGTTATTAAACGATATCTGCTGCTTGATTTTATAAAGACATTAAATTTCTTAGGTGAATTCTTTATCATGTTAGCAATTTCAGATACAAGTGAAAGACTGTCCCGGACCAAAGTGCATTTTCTGGTACAGTCTTGCAAACACAAGTTCAAACAACATGCAAAGCAATGGACAGAAATTGCTGCTTTGCTTTCTTCTTTCAATTGAGCTGCTAGGCCACGTAAATGTCCTGTCATATTTGCTGCTCCATCATAAGCTTGGCCATGGCAGTCTTCTTGACTTTAGGAAAATTGGAGTAGAACATCTTTAACAGTTGTTGTTTTTGAGCCGGCATCTAATTGCTCTAGTTCATATAGACCAAGGAAGTCCTTGTGTACATCATTGTTTTCATCAACCCAACGTATACAAATTGATAGCTGTTCTTTGTTTGAAATGTCCCTGGATTCATCCCCTATAATAGCGAAGTATTTCGAACTCTGGATATGTGATAACAACTTTAAAATCACCGCTCGGCCAAAAAGTTCTATATAATCATTTGCTATTATTGGGGACAAGTAGTTTTTGCTCTGGACCCAATTTTGTAGCCCTTTTACATCTTGTGATCTCAGTAACATCAATTGTTTAAGAATGCCCTCTGTTTCTGTATGACCGCGTATTGCAAGACTTTGACGTAGAAGGACGATAATTCTACTAAAAACATCTTTTACTCTGGTTTTGTCTAATCTGCTTTAAAAGTTGACTTGTTACAGATTTTGCTTTTTGATTTATAAGCTGGTACTTTTCTAAGACTTCCCTATTTGAATCACTTGGTTCGTGCTCATTACATTTAGTAACTGCCTTAATCCAATTGTCGAATCCTGTTGTCACGAAGTCAGGTTCCTTTCTTTTGCTTAAGTCAAGTTTGTTAATACTTTCAATAAATCGACAATAGAAGCAAAATACTTTATACCATGTTACGCAGAGTGTTACCCACAACCATTTAGTGTACTATGACTTTTGAAACATTCAAAACTCTTTTTTGTTTCTAGTTTTTTTTCTTATCATTTTGAGTATACATTCATCATCTAGTTAGCAGACCTGGGTCATATTTGAATTGCAACATAGGACATTACAGTATGATGTAGAGGTTACTGAATCTGACTGTGAGGCTTGTGCATTAGTTAGAGTTTCTTTATTTGTATTTACTCTTACTCAGTGTAGTTAAGGTGATTTACAAATTATTCAAATACTTTTGTTTGGACATAATACGCATGATTTTATCAGCGTATTATGTCCAAACAAAAGCTTTAGATGATATAATTTTTTTTTGCTTCAGGTTTTTTAATATTTAAAGAAGCTTTTTTATATATAATTTTTAAAACCTTTTTACTACCCGTAATAGTGAATCTAAAGAACACTATTTTGGAATCTTTAAATCAATTCCGCTCATCGGTGTTAACATGAATTGAGTTAAAATCTTTTGAAAAAGTTCCTTAATTTACTACTGATCCTAGTTCTAATCGGTTCTTGACGTATATTATAACTATATATAGTTGTCAAAACACAATATTTCTATCAATTATCACAAAAAATACTAGAATTCCGATTAAAAAAGAGCTTATAGTTATGGAAAATTGCCAATAAACGATCAGAACAGATCATATTGTTAAACTATAATGTTCATTTCACCTAAAAAAAATATTAATTTAAAATCTTATACAAATTTGGACAAGCGATTGTGATTTTAAGATGATTTAAAAAATAAAAAAAAAAGAATTATCGATCTGGGTTTTTTCGCTACAAACATTTATAATTTATGATACGGCAAAATTTATAATTTTAATATTTTTCGTCTTTTCATAATTCACAGACCTGACCAATTAACGGAAATAAGTCAACAAAATATCATATAATATTTTTCTATAATATTTTAAAAGTGCCTTAACTACACCGAGTAACTGTCTGGTAATGATATCTTGCTGACTTATTTCACTTTCTTGATTAGTACAGATTTCTGCATTTTTCTGACTGTGACTGGAAGATGTCTCGGCTGTGGGACATTAGCATCTTTTGACTCCTGTTTGTAAGTACAAAAAAAGTTACATAGTAAATTTTAAGGCTAAATATTAGGTGTTGTTTTTGATTTTTTTAATGGATTTTTTAACTACAGTAGAGTTTGTGTAACTGAAATAATTGTACTCACGTAAGGCTAACACTTAGTGCGGTAAGTTTCGGTTTTGGTTGGTAAAAATCCACGATTCGCTTACGCTTGAAAGTTATTGTTAATCGGATTGATAAGATAATATAAATACTGTAATTTAATAATTTATATTTGAATTAAATAATTTTTCATTTGTCAAGCTGAAACAATATAGTTACAAAATAACAATTTTAAAAATTGTATGAACATTAAAAACCAGATAAAAACGTTATCAATAAACCTACAACTTTATTATTTATTTTTTTTAACTTTACGTTCTATTGTATTTTAAAATTGTATTACTTTCTATCGTATTTCGAACGTTCTATTGCATTGAAATTTGTATTTTTAATTTAAACCGTTTAAACTAATGAATCCAAAGTTCATTCAGATTTATGCGTAGACCAATAAAGTCCCTGCGCGGCAAAACTTTAATATTAGAACAGAAAAAGAAAAGTATGGAAACAAGCATATTTTATAAAAAGTATATACGTAAGCATATTTAAGAGCCTCCTTCGACATTTTGCCTAAGTATACCCGAGTCTGTTAAAGAGTTATAAAAAGTAACATGTATAACTACTATAACATACTATAACTACTTCTATTACTATTTATAACATACTATAACTACCTTTTATACAACATTTTTTTCAACGCAATGACTCCATGAAAACTGTAGTCATCTTTTGCCAGCACACATTCATTTAGAAAACAGTTAGTAGACAGTATCTAAACAGTTTTATGGATATACTTTTCCATGGTGATGTTTAATTGTGATTGAGTCATTGCAGACAGGAAAATGATAATAATGCTGTTGATATCATAAATTTTTTTTTTAAATTGTTTAGGAAATGGGGTGGGAGGGGTCTAAATGAAGTGTCTGCTAAATCCCCCCCCCCAGTGTTTTTGTTTAAGGGCTATTGCCCCCTCCGCCCCCTCTCACTGTTCCTACGCTACTATATATATTCATATATATATATATATATATATATATATATATATATATATATATATATATATACATACACACATACACACACACAAAAGCTTATAAGGACTTAATAAAATTAACAGTAACTTTATGTTGAAAAAGTAACCTTATATGGTTGAAATTAGCATACAATATTTACTTTAAAAATTTTTGAAAATGTGAAATCATTGACTTTTTTTATCTATTAAACCAAGTAGTAGCTTATTATTCTGACTAAGCATTCCTTTTTTAAAAATCTTTTCATCTTTATGTAAAGCTTCTGTCTTGATTTCTACATATTTCAATAAAATATTTTTTGCTCTAGATACACAAAATACGATCCCGAATATAAGTGGAAGGTATAAGTTCAGGAAGCTTTTCTCATATAATTGTTTTTAGCTATTTTTTTATTTTATTATTATGCAAAAATATATTTTTGTTTTGTAGTAATTTATTTTTATAAAAAATTATCAAATAAACTTTTTATACACTGGGAGTGTAAATATATATATATATATATATATATATATATATATATATATATATATATATATATATATATATATATATATATATATATATATATATATATATATATATACATATTTATAAAGTTATAAAAAATTATAAATTGTAATTATGTGTATAAATTTGTAACTGTAAATAATTACATTGTTGATGTTGTTTTATGTAATACTAATTTTGAAAACTTCTAAAAAAATCTAGATTAATCGCGTTTAGATGGCAATTATTTTCACTTATTTTTTAAAATATTCAAAAACCGCGTATTTTCCGCGTTTTATTGGCATTATTAAACCTTGTACTGCACCATTTTACATTTTTTTATGCACCATGGTACTTAACTACTAAGAAAACAAAGGCTTTAATTTAAATGAAACAAAACAGATTAAAGTTTTTAACTATAGACAAAAAATCCAAAAATAAATATCTTGTGTGATTTATAGTTCCAAAGATATCAAAGAGCTCAAAAATCAGTGTTCAAAGATACATATTTCGATTAAAAAAATCGGATTTGCCACATTGAAAGTTTTTTTTTATACGCTCTGATAACGTAATATAATCAAATGAAAAGTTATTAAATATCGTTTGAAAGCTAATCAAATCTAATTTCCAATGACAAAAATAAGTTTTATAAATCTTATAAAATTTTGAAAATCACTTATTAAAAAAATATATATATTTGTACAAAAACATTAAAAACCGATTTTGATGAAGCCGGAAAAAAATCCCTTTTAAAATCATAATTTTACAAAAAATTAAAGTTAAATACGTCCTTAAATAACTGCAAAAAAAAAAAAAAAAAAAAAAACTGGCTAGCCCGAAAAAAGGTATGAAGATCTAAAAATGTCTCGTTATACTGAAAATGCATAATAAACTTTAAATGCGTAGCTAATGATCATTAGCTACGAAATTAGATAGTAAGTTAAAATAATACTTAAATCCGCCGTGTGAAAAATTGTCTGTGCCGAATTTCAGATTGATCTCTCATTCCATTCATTAAATATACAAAAATTTACCAAAAAAGAATGTTTCAAACAAGTTAGCATAAATAAAAAAATTATAACCTAAATATTTTGTATTTATTTAAATTTTACGCTCTTATATATATTTTATAACGATCTATTTGAAAACGGTGCATATCCGTTAATTAATAAACCAACAAGGGTAACTTCAATGTCTGCTTCCTTAATAGATAACATTATGACTACGGACACTTTTAATGAGTCCCTCAAAAAGGGTTTAATTAAAAGTGATGCTTCAGATCATTTCCCAATTTTTTTCTCGATAAATATTGATATTGACTTAGTACCGAAACAAAATCAAGTTTACTTTAAACGATGCTTTAGCCAAGCAAACATAAAGTCGTTTAATGAGCAGCTATCCTTACTACACTGGAAACATTTAAATTTTTCATCTGAAGCAAATCTAGTTTATAACTCGTTCTTTAAAATATTTTTTGAAGTTTATGACGCAAACTTTCCTTTATGCGAAGTAAGTCAAAAAAAATAAGCATTAAGTCGCCATGGATTACCAAAGAACTTAGAAAATTGTCCAAAATTAAACAAAAATTGTATATTAAGTATCTAAAAATAAAAATAAGGCGATTTATAAAAATTACGTTAAAAATTGTGAAAGTCAAAGAAAAAACTTAAAAAAAAATACTACTCAAACCTACTTGAGAAGTTTAAACATAACTCAAAGCGTACGTAGCAAGTTTTAAATGAAATCACTGGTAACCATAAGATTAAAACATGCAACTTACCAAAAGTTATTAGAAACAATGACGATTTCATATATAATCCAAAAGCTAATCAGATAAATAACTATTTTGTATCTGGTCCTAATCTAGCAAAAAATATTCCAGTTGTAACCAACAAAACAAATTATTTTAGCCTTCCCAAAATTTCTGTACTTAATAATTTTGAAATTTCAATGAAAAAATTTGAATATGTTTATAAAATGCTAAAAACAAATGAAGCGATAGGTCGAGACGAAATAAATAGTAACATTATTATATTATCTTACGAGATCATAAAAACTATACTATTCAAAGTGTTTAGTTACTCAATAAAATAAGGAATATTTCCTGACCAACTAAAGATCGCTAAAGTTACACCAATATAAAAAGGTGGTGAATTATCAAATATAACTAATTATCGACCAATATCAAAAGGCTTTTCAAAGGTTTTTGAAAGGATTCTTTACAACAAAATATATGAATATCTTTCTAAAAATAAAATATTAAATGCCAGGCAATATGGATTCAAAAAAATAACTCCACGGAATACGCCATACTTCATGTAACTAATAGTATTGCAAATTCTTTTGAGAAATCACAATTAACTCTTGGAGTTTTCGTTGATCTATCAAAACCCTTTGATACGATAGATCATGAGATTCTTATAAAAAAACTTAAAAACTATGGAATCAGCGGAAATTTATTAAATTTGCTAATAAGCTATCTAAGCATTCGGAAACAGTTTGTACAAATTGACGTATCCTCCTCAACAAGTTTACTAGATATAACATGTGGTGTTCCCCAAGAGTCTATACTAGGGCCACTACTTTTTCTCATTTATGTTAATGATCTGCACAATGCCTCAAGTTTGAAGACAGTAATGTTTGCTGATGATACAAATCTTTTTCTATCCGGTAAAAATATCATTACACTATTTAATGAAATCAACATAGAACTAATTAAAATTTCAAATTGGTTTAAGTCAAATAAACTATCAATTAACTTGGAAAAAACTAAATGGACTTTATTTCATTCAAAATCCCAAAAGAAACTTTTACCAAATGATATGCCTCAAATATATATTGATAATGTTCAAATAAAAAAATCAAAAGTTATACATTTCCTCGGTGTTTTCATTGATGAAAATCTAACTTGGAAAAACCATATCAAAATTTTGCGCAATAAAGTTTCAAAAAATATTGGTGTAATGTGTATAGCGAGAAATTTTGTAAATAGACATTCATTAATTCAACTTTATCACTCGCTAATTCAATGCCATATAAACTATGCAAATATCGCATGGGGTAGTGCTAAAAAAATTCAATTAGATCCTCTATATCGGCAACAGAAGCATATAGCACGTTTAATAAACTTTAAAGATCATTATACTCATGCCAGACCTCTTTTATTGAAAATGAATGTTCTTAATATATACCAGCAAAATGTTTTTAATGTTGTTTTATTTATGTACAAATGTAAGATAAACCTAACCCCTATATCCTTTCAAAATTTATATGCAATAAAACAAAAAAACAAATATGACTTAAGGAATGATAATATTATTTATCAACGTTATTCTCATACAAGTTTTGGAAGATTTCTTTTAACTTATCGCGGAGCTCTTCTGTAGAACAAAATAGTTTTGAAAAATTTTGATTTTTCCCAAAGTTAGAGTTTTCTTACTTTTAAAATTAAGTTGAAAAAAGTTATCTTGTCAATTGATAATATCTTTGAGTTCTTTTGAGTTTATACCTTTTAAAAAAGTGTGTGGTTCCTGAATATATTGTTTTATTTTAAAATATTTAGTTTTATATATATTCTTTATGTTGTCAAACATTATTTTATATTTTGAAATATCTGGTTAAACTTGAATTTTATTTGAAATTTGATTTGAAATTTTATATGAAATATCTGTTAAATTTAAATTTTATTTTTAAACGTCATTTATTGTAATTATTTAACTGGTTTTATTTTTAAACGGTTCTCAGTGACAGGATCTTACGATCCTCTTTAAGTCTCCGTGTTCTAATATTTAATGTACAACGATATTTATACCATAGTATATTGAAATAAGAACAAAAAAAAAAAAAAAAAAAAAAAAAAATCTAAAGTAGCGTCCGTTATTGACTAACATTTTTCCTTACCGAGTTACTCACGCGTTGAGTTGGCGGTAACTGGAGTAGAACTCGTATTGCACAACAGTTCGGATTGTAACATTTCGTTTGGCACTCTCACGTTTACAACTACAACTTTTATTATTAGTAGTATTTTTACTCCTTCAACTTTTAATGTTCGTTTTGTTACTGCTGTGGATGATTAATATTACTATTCAGGTCCATATCCAGCATTTTTTGGTCTTCGAGATATCTAACTTCCAGACATTAAGCAAACTCCAAACATTTATATGTTTATACTTATGTCAAATAAGGATGCTTTGCAAAAAACTGCGATGATTGGAGCTTAAGAACAAAAAAGCCCCAAAATTTGTGCTCCCCCTGCCCCAAAGGTGAGAGCAACAAGTTGATGAAATATTTTTTGTACTATTTTTAACTAGACTTATATTCATCAATAACTTTTAAATTTCATAGTAAAATGTTTCAGCGTTCAAAAATTATAACAATATAAAATTTGCGACCCCCTCAAACTGAGGGGGGTTTAAACTTTATATGGTCAAAATTTTTGAACGCTGAAATATTTTACTATGAAATTTAAAAGTTATTGATGAATATAAGTCTAGTTAAAAATAGTACAAAAAATATTTCATCAACTTGTTGCTCTCACGTTTAGGGCAGGGGAAGCACAAATTTTGGGGCTTTTTTGTTCCCAAGCTCCAATCATCGCAATTTTTTGCAAAGCATTCTTATTTGACATAAGTATAAACATATAAATGTTTGGAGTTTGCTCCATGTCTAGAAGTTAGATATCTTGAAAACCAAATAATGCTGGATACGGACCTGCTATTAGCAGTAATCAATATATTTATTAGCTTTTATTTGCAAGGTTTTCACTTAAGATACATGTACATGTACTATTTATAAATTTCCGTGAATGTGACAACTATTTCGGAATACATGAATTGACTGATTGACTCTAACCAACTGAGTTATCCAGCCAATATCTCATGATCCTTATGGAGTTATGTGAAGATGTAAATAAAAGTGTAAATGTAAAAAAAGTAGTGAGGATAACATCAGATGAGGACAACTATATTTATTAATTTAATGAAAACTTCAATACGGATGTAGAAGTTAATAATGATTAAAATGATAATAAAGCAATGAATTTTATTTGAAAAATATAAAAAAACTTTAGAAACAACAATGTTTCCGTTTTTTTGATTTAAGTATCTTTAAAAAAATAAATTTGGTTTGTCCAAACAACAGACGCGGTGAATAAAAAAAAGCAATTTCTTTTACTTAGTAATTTTAGCTTTACGTCAATAACTTTGGTTCGCGTAAAGGTTGGTTTCCATATATCTAAAATGATCGTGCGACAGTCGCGCGATCATATGGAAACATAAGTCGTGCGACAAATTTTGTCTTGCAAGACTGTCTTTCGGTCGTGCCATAGGTGTCGCTAAGATAGAATAAATTCTATCTCTACGACAATTGTCGCGCGAACTTTAAATATGATTGGTTGGTTATTTTGAAAAAACGGAATATTAAAAAAAAAGTTTTTCACGCATCAACCTAAAATGGAACCTGAACAAGAAAGACTTATCGAAGAATTTAGCAAAGAAAGCTTTATGCAGAAAGTGCAGAAGTATCCAGTGCTTTACGACAAATTCAATGCTGAATTTAAGAACAATATTATGAAAAAAAATGCTTGGGCAGCTATTGGCGTTTTGTTTGGTTTAACTGACCAGGAATGTGAATCAAAATACAAAAATATAAGATCGGCGTATGGACGCTTTTTAAGGAAAAAAAAAGAGTATACCTTCGGGCTCAGGACGAATTATCAGTAAAGAGTACGATTTTTGGCAGTGGTTAAATGTTTACATTGACCATAGAGACACAACAATTAATGTTGAAAATAAAGCAACAACCACAGAATTAACAACAGAATCGCCTTTGTCTTGTATAGATAGTAATGATAGTATGAACTATGACGAAGATGTTAGTAATAAAGTAGAATTAGAAAATGAAAATTTAAGCGAAAATACAAGTAATTCAAATACATTCAGTAATCAACGAAAAGCATTAAGTGAAATAAAATCTCCTATAAATATAAGAAAAAAAACATTGAAAAGATCTCTACCTGATGAAAATTCAAAAATACAAGATGCAATAATTAGTACGATGAACAATATTAATGCAACACTAGCAGTTAGTACACATGAAGAAAACGACGATCTAATACATATTTGTAAATCTATTTGTGCTACAATCAAAAGACTACCTCCTAAAACTCAAGCAGTTGCTAAAATAAACATACAGCAATATTTAGCTGCTCTAGAATTTCCAGATATTGTTGACTGATATAAAATTTGTTTGTTTGTTTTTTAACATATATTTAAGAAATTTAATATTCTGTTACACATAGTTTAAACCATTCTTCAGTATTATATAATAATACAGTTATAAGATTATTTTTTTCATTGTTCCAAAAATATTCTATTTCCTGCAAGATCGTGTCCACAACTAGTTACATAGTCATGTTGCCACGACAAGGATCCACTTGGATGATTAAAATACTTTGTTAGCGTTAATCTTACAGTGTTCGCATCTGTTGTGTATCGATTGCTTATACATTGAGGTAAAATATTTAAAGCATTACCTTCAACTGTTATTTTGCACCAGTCTCTAGGAATAACTTTACCAGAATTTGTTTCAAAATCAACAAATCCAGATGGTACATAGTTAATACCATCATTGATCCTTAAATAATTATGTAAAGAAATTGCAGCTTTTATAATGTTTTCAATATTTTCTGGGTTAGCTTTTATTGGATGCCTAAATACTCTCCATTTAGCTACCATAATTCCAAATGTGTTTTCAATTGTTCGTCTAGTCCTAGATAATCGATAGTTAAAAATACGTTCTTTGATTGTCAAATTTTTACCAGAAAAAGGCTTCATTAACCATGATTTCAGTGCAAAAATATCATCACCAACCAGAACTGGTGGTACTTGTGTGCCATTTGATAGCATTCGGTTTTTAGAAAGTTTGAATAAGTTGTTTTTGAAAGCTTTACCCATTTTACTTTCATTGAATATTGAAGCATTGTTATCTCTACCATAGCTACCTATATCAACCAAAGTAAAACAATATTTTGCATCACATATGGCTAGCAAAACCATACTGTGAAAGTTTTTATAGTTGTAATATGCTGATCCACTCAAACTAGGAGCTTCTATACATACATGTTTACCATCAATTGCTCCAATACAATTAGGAAAGTTCCATTCATTTTCAAATTGGTTTGCCAATTCTTTCCACTCATTTAATGTACTTGGTGCCTTTAAATAACATGGTTTTAACACATACCAAATAGCCTTTGTTGTTTCATTTATAATGTTGCATACTGTTGTTCTGCCCAGTCTAAAATAAAAGGCTTGTGTTAGTTGTGAATCTCCAGTAGCCAGGTATCTCAGTGTCACAGTCAATCGTTCTGAGGGTGATATTGTTTGACGACTTCAACATGGCTTTTTTGTAATGCTAGGGGCAACCATGGACACAAGTGTTCATACCTTTCAGGTGACATTCTGTAAAAATGATAAAAAAATTCTCTGTCATGAAGTCGTAGCTCAGGAATAAGTATGTTAAATGCTCCTTTTTCATAACGGTTTTTAAACAAGGAGCGAATCCAAAATTTATGTTTTCTCTTTTTTTTTACTCTGCAATGTTCTAAGAGCTAGTAAAGTATTGCGAAGTGCAAGCTGGCAGTTCAGTAGATCATATTTTTTATTCCTTGCCATTGGTCTACAATCAATTAATTTTTATTATTAATTTTTTTTTAATATTTACTTTATTTACTAAACAAAGAAAAAAGTAAGAGAAAAATGCTCCAATAGTATTAAAGCGGATGATAAAAATCTTAATACCTTTTTTTTTCAAGTGTTGGGAAACTATTTCTTAACAACAATTAGTTGAAAATAATTTTTATACAGATATTTTTAACGTGGTATTTTAAAATAAATTTTGATAAATGCTAAAAATATTGAGTTTTTTAAAATTTGATACTTAAGCGTGTTTTTTGTAGTTTAGATAATGAAATTTTTTTTTAGCTAAAAGCAAATATATCATAAATGGTTCATAATATTATAATAAATAAATAAAAGAAAGGATGGGAACAATATTTTCTTGGCATCACGGAAGTGATAAAAAAATATTTGTTTTGAAAACGCTTCTAAAATTAATGGAAACACCTGGTCGTGCGACAAATATTGAAAATGTTGTTGCGCGACAGTTGTCGCACGACTGTCGTGCGACTATATGGAAACCAACCTTAAAGCTGAGCGTTTTTGGAAAAAATTGCTTAACTTCACGTGATTAAAAATTTGAGCGATTTTGGTCAAATTTTTATTCATATAAAGCTGAACAATTACTCCAAAAACGATGAGTAAAAACTTGTTTTTTTTTATTCAACCTGCCTATTTACTCTATCGTAAAGACCGAATACAAACTGGCGGCGGTGTAGCCATATACTTCAGAAATGACATTAAAACTACCGAAGTACTTATTCCTCAAATTGACACGGATATCGACATCATTTTTAATAAATTAATTTTTGGATCTTGTAAACTCCGTTTAATTACTTGTTACCGCCTACCGTCTTATTCTTTTGACGATTATATTTTTTTTCAGTATTATCAAATTATAACCTATTTGTGCCATTCTGTTACTCAATTTATTATTATTGGATATTTCAATATACCGAAAATTGATTGGCTTAACTACGTTTTGCCAAATGAAAAATAGAATAATTGATTTTTAACTTTTGTTAACAGTCTTGGAATGCACCAATATGTACTGAAATCTTCCCACGAAAACAATATTCTTGATCTGGTTTTTTTAAACATTAATTCCCTATTAGGTAACATTACTATTGAGTGTCCATTTAGTATAAGTGACCATAACTCTGTCCTTTTTTATGTTAATAATTATAAAATGTTAGAAAATAATTTTTATGGAAAGGCGGCCCGAAATTAAGACTAATTTACATAAAAAAGCGTATATTAGATATGCATCTACATGTAAAAAAAGCCGTATAGCTGGTGTGTAAACACCACAAGAATTTGGAACTCAAACTTGTCAAAGACAATAAAACTAGTAAGTTTTTTTAGTTATGCAAATAAAAATTTATGCAACTCGAAAAAAATATATCCTCTAAAAACCAGCAGCAACTTAACTACTTGCAAAACTGATATTACTAAGGGGCCATCCATTAAGTACGTACGCAGGTATGGGGGGAGGGGGTTCTCAAAAGCATGCAAACGCGTACAAGGTGGGGAGAGGGTGTTAAAGACAGCGAGTACGTACGCGGTTTGACTATTGAATTTCACCTGTGTAACAAATCAGAATTGTGTTTTTTTTCTGACTTCAGTCACAATTTTTTTATTTTATTTCTTTATAAATAATTAGAAGAGAAAAAAGAAATCGAGTTCATTTTGAAAAAAAAAAAATAATGCACACGTACGCGGGGGGAGGGGATCTTCAAAAACGTACAGGTTCGTACAAGGGGGAAGCGGGGGTCCTAAATCAGTGGTTTTACTGTGTACATACTTTATGGATGCCCCCTATTGGTATTTAACAAACACGTCGGAAGTGTTTTTACGGTAGATAACGGTTGTTTGCCAAACAAAAAACTTCGTTAATGATTATACTAACATCGTCAATTTCAATTCGACATTGTAGAATTTTTACCAGAGATAGTTTATCAAAAACAAATAAACGTAAAACCTAGCACATTGTTCGGTCTTGATGGTATACTAAATGTAGGGTTGTTCACGAAAGCCAAAGTTGAATTTTCGATTAAAAAAAAAGTTTTCGAAACTCTATTTTCGTTTCGGTAAGTTCGAAATAATTTTAAAGTAATTAATTTTGCATCGAAACGATTTTTTTACTTTCGAAGTTGTAAAATTTGCTTCGAAATATTTTTGCGATTTCGAAATTCTGAAAATATTGTCGAAATAATTTTTTACTTTCGGAATTGTAAAATTTGCTTCGAAATATTTTTGCGATTTCGAAATTCTGAAAATATTATCGAAATAATTTTTTACTTTCGAAAATGTAAAATTTGCTTCGAAATATATTTGCGATTTCGAAAATCGGAAAATATTACCGAAAAAATTTTTTACTTTCGAAAATGTAAAATTTGCTTCGAAATATATTTGCGATTTCGAAAATCGGAAAATATTACCGAAAAAATTTTTTACTTTCGAAATTGTAAAATTTGCTTCGAAATATTTTTGTGATATCGAAATTCTGAAAATATTACACAATATTACTATTAAATTCTAAAATTTGCTTATATTTATTTTATTACTGAAATTGTACAAAATTTTATTAAAATATTTTTATAAATAATTAAATTTTAAAAATTAACATAAAATAATACCTAAAATTTTTGGTGTTACGGCCAGAGAAAAGGGTTTAACTACCTCCCACTATTTTATAGAAGAATCTGCAATTAATTTAATAATAACTCAGGGATCGTTCGCAAATCACCTCACATATTTAAGCCTAGCTTGGTTTCGGATTTTGTGACACTTTGGGGAGCTTTTTTATTTTTAGTAACAGGTTTTTTTAAATTTTGGGGCCCTAATGACTTTTTTAGTGTAAACGCTGTATACACTGGTTTGATAATGGCTCTCTGAAATGCCAGTCCTGGCTAGCCGTAAAACGAGTATTGCTGAGCAGCGCAAGTGTTATTGCCGAAGCGTAACATCAGACATCTGACCAATATATGGGTTTATATGTATTGTTTGCACTGATAAGTCCATAGACGTAGAGTTTTTATTTTTCCAGATTGGGCTCAAACAGTGGCGTCAATTCAGAAAAAACTTATAAGGAGGGGCCAATTTGTGAAAACAATTTAACTCTTCCCCCCCCCCCCCCCCACCTTCACAAACCAAAATCATAACATTGAGCAGCACAATTCAATTTTGTTTCTTGGGTATTTTGTTAAAAACTTTACTTTAAAAACTTTACTTTAATAAAACTCTAAATATATAGAAAATAATACTATTTTTGCTACTTTTTAAAAGAAACTGCTACCAAAAAGCAAGGATATACTCACAGCCGTGGATAGGCTCCCCACGCTCCTCCTTAATTGAGGGGGGGGGACAAATTTAGGGGGTCTTTTTCAAATTTTTGAGGGCCTTTTACCGAATTTGCCCCATGGACATCTGCTGCCCGGGACAAACAATACCTTCCCCTTCACCTCTCACGCCTGATTAGATTAAGCTTTATTACTTTTTACTTTTATAAAATTATTTTTAGGGATTATATTTACCCTCACCAAAAGCTTGAAAAGCCTTTTTGATAGCTTGAATAGCGTTAAAAAAAATAGTTTTTTTTGCGCGTCGTTTTGATTGAATAAAAATTTCTTTTGAAAATACTTTTTTTATTTCGAAAACACAACGTTTAAAAATCAAAGTAAATTTGAAAGAAAAGTTGCGTAACTTTAGACACTTTAGAAGAGTCTGTAAGGAATTTTATTTTTAATATCTGTAAATTTTTTTAAAAAAAGTAGAAGGTCAGCTTAAAAAGATTAGCAAAAACTAAATTATTTTTCGAATTTTTCTCTAAAATCCTATAAAGATTATCTGGTTAAACAAGAAATATAGAATTTTGACAGTCCGTTCTAAGAACGCATAGTTTACAGCACGCACATAAGTCATTATTATTCCTCAACGGCAATTCCCTTGAGGTCTTAAACGCATGACATGAAATCATTGTTGCAATGTAAACGGCTAATTACTTTCTAGTGGTTATTTAGAGATTTGCAACGGTTTCAAATCGACTTATGCCTTTGCGATTTTTGTGTTACATAATTCTAAAAATGGTGTCATTTTATATTAAAGTTATAACAATCTCATTAATATCTCGGAAACGTAAGTGAAGTAACATGTGGTACAAATTTATTTTATCATAAGTTACTAATTTGTTAATATTTGTTACATACGAACGAGTAAAAAAACTACTCGCTTTTTAGTTTGAATAAACAATGTCAAAAACAAATAAATCCGTTATTAAGAAAGGAATAAGAAAACGAAGCTTCGTTTGGACATATTTCGAAATGGACCAAAAAAATCAAACAAAATGCAGCATATGTTATAAGATTTTACCTTACAACAGTTCGACCAGTTCAATGCAATCCCATTTATCAATTGATCATTTCATTAATTCTAAAATATCTAAAAAATCAACAACTTTACTCAACGATGACGATATATCCGATATTGAGAGCGGTAATGAGAATGGTTTTGAAGAGACTGGTCATAAAAAATTAAACAGGTTATTGGTGAATTTTATTGTTGGTACCGATCAGCCGATTTCGATAGTACGTCATCCAGACTTTGTAAACTTAGTTAGTGAGTTAAACAAAAGCTACAAAATGCCTTGCATAAATACGGTGAGCAAGAAATTAATTCCATCAATTACGGACAATCTTAAATCAATTTTAATGCTAGAATTGAAGGGATGTCGTTTCATTACAATTACTTGTGATAGTTGGTCATCATTAGGTAAAAACAGCTACCTCGGTGTGACTTGTCATTTTATTGACAAAAATATGACTCTAGTTGACCGAAACCTGGATCTTAAGTTTATGTCTGAAATGAAAACAGCTGAATATTTATTTAATACGTTAAACGAAATCTTCAGTGAATGGTCAATCAATAATAAGATTTTTGCACTAGTTACTGACTCAGGTGCAAATATTTTCTCTGCAGTAAATAAATTTGATGATAATGTTCTTAAGATTCCGTGTGCTGGTCATCGTTTGAATCTCGTGGTTAATGATCTTCTAAACGCACGAGATATAAAAGTAAAAAAAATTAAAAATGGGTTAAAGCGTTACCAAGTAAAAAATTACGACGGTAATGGAAAACTAATTAATACCGGTTTAATAGATACGGAGCTACGGAGCAGGCTTGCGCCAAGCTTATTGAAGCAGTTAGTTTTTATTAAAGAAAACAAGTAATCAAAAACATTTCTTTATTAAAATAAAAAAAATTATTTAGTAAAAGTGTATTTTATAAATCTTAGTAATTTAAAGCACTTGTATTCTTTTTTTTTTATCTGATGAACTTTTTTACAAACAGCTTAATTAATGACAATATGTTTTCTGCTACATTCTTTTCAATTCTGGAAAAAACACCAATATCCAATGATTGAGCTGCCATCAGGGCAGGTGCAAGTAGGTGTGACGTGGTGGGGTGTCATTAAAATTTTTGTTGAGTAAAAAATTAGGTCCTTGTTTTTTGAAGTTCGACGACTGACCTGTCTAAAAAGTCTACATTTGCCGACTTCTTTAAAAGGGTTATTTTTGCCGACTAAATGCACAAAAAATGCATTTAGGAAGGTGTGTGTGTAAATGGTTCGTAAATTTAAATAATCTTTCCCCGTTATTGAATGGTTTAGAATTTGTAACTAAAGAGGACTAATTTCATAGCTTGTAGCAGTAGCATTTACTGTTATCATATTGCCCTTTTTTAAGAAATCTTGTTGTCCAAACAACTACTTATAAATTGGATTGTTTTATCTTTCCCTAACTTGAGGAAAATCTTTATGAACAAAAAAGTGATTAGAAGAGAGTCTTTTTTTAAATTTCTAGGAGTGATTATAGATGAAAATATATCATGGAAATATCATATTAAATCTATTGAAATTAAATTATCCAAAAATACTTCAATGCTATATATAGTTAAACCTTAACTTTATTTAGCATAAAAAATATATAATTTTCTTAATACGGAGTCTTTGAAAATTATATATTTTTCATTTAGGGAGAGTGGGGCAAAGTGGATCGAATTTCTTTCTTTTTTAATTTGAGTGAAAGTTAAAATATATATTTTATGTTTGTCAAGGCTAAAGGATTGAGAATATGTCCTTCATGATAAGAAATAACTAAAATCTAAATATATATTATCTAACAGCTCACAGAAAGGTTTAAAGTGAGTTTTGTTAAGTGATTCACTGTACCCCAGTACTGGGGTACAGTGAAACAATTAACTCATTTGCAATTTAGTGGTAGTTAATGGGGGCGTAGCCAAATAATTTTGAGGATGAGGGTGTAAATACATTGTACACTATACTTTTGGTGCACTTTTGGTAACTAATATTAAATAATTTAATTTTTTTCTGATTGACAAAATAAAGAATAAATTTTATTGATAACAAAACTTATTCAACCATCTAAAATCACAAAAAAAAAATTTATTTAATAAAACTTATTTTACCAACAACACAAGAAATTTTTTAAAGTGAATTTTTAATTTTTATAAACATTTTTATCACAGTGAATTAACCGTTTCACGGTACCCCGATTCATTGTGCCCCACTATAAAAAATAAGGTTCAAGTTTAATTTTTTGGGGCATGAGTTTTATTAAAGGAAAAGCAAAACTACTAAAATGAACCATAAAGATCAGTATTCCAAATATAAAACTTTAACTTATAAAATGATTTTAACCATGATCTCCACAACAAACATAAAGATGGTAAGAGCATTTACTTTAGTTAGCTAAAAACATAAATTACCTACCTAAAACCGAGAGTCAAAAATTATGTGGTAACACCTATAAATAAAGATGGGTGATATATGCGCACATAAACTTATTACATCATCGTGATGAACAAAATCATAATCTTTGAAAAAATGCTTCTTATTCACTGTGCCCCTCAATCCACTGTACCCTGACTTCCCCTATTCATAGTTTTTTTATTTATAAACTTAATATATACCAAGTTATGCTTTTTACGTTTAAATCAAAACATGCGTTATCTCCTTATATATTTCACTCTTACTTTGCAGAAATATCTCATTAATACCCATCTGATAATTTTGTAATTCCAAGATCTTATTTAAAACTCAATTCATTTCAAATTCAATACCGTGGACCATTTATATGGAAAAGTTTTTAAAAAAGCATTATTAAAAATAAAATTCTTCTAAGAGCAATTCTAAGAACATCTCCTTAGAATAATTCGAAAGAGAGTCTAAACGTTTTCTATAAGAAAAAAATTTCAATATTTCTTTTAATATTTCTTTTAATAAGTTCGAAATTAATTTAGCTTACCAAATATCTATTGGTTTTTTCTCGAAATTAATTGCACACTTCGAAACTCTTTTTTTTCTTTCGAAATTAATTTGACTTTTCAAAATACACTTTTTTTTTTCGAAGTTAATTTGACTTTTCAAAACTCTTTTTTTTCTTTCGAAATTAATATCACTTTTCGAAATACATTTTTTTTTTCGAAATTAATTTCACATTTCGAAATTCTTTTTTTCCTTTCGAAATAAATTTCCTTTTTCGAAATCCAGCTTTTTATTTCGAAATTAATTTCACATTTCGAAATTCTTTATTTCCTTTCGAAATTAATTTCCTATTTCGTAATCCACCTTTTTATTTCGAAATTAATTTCACATTTCTAAATTACTTTTTTTTTTCGAAATTAATATGGCTAGTTCGATTATTATCGAAAGTTTTTTTAGATTTCGAAAAAAAAGAAGTATTTCGATAACGTTTTAATCGAAAATTTTCGAAAATTGCAATTTCGATAATGAACCCTAACTAAATGTACTTTTTAAGAAATTAGCACACATAATATGTTTTCCGCTTTTGCTCATATTTCAATCAAGTTTTACTTCAAGCTAAACAATGGCTTTGATTTCCCCATCTTTAAAAAAGAATCCACCTCAGATGCTAATTATTATAGACTTTTCTCTCATACATGTACCAGCTGCCGTGTCATGGAAAGTATTATTAGTTCGAAAATTGCTGATTATCTAAATAGTAATAATCTAATAACACCTAATCAACGCGGTTTTTTATCCAAAGAAAAACTACCTGTACAAGTCTTCTTGAGTCAACAAATGATTGAAATAAAGCCCTAGACAACCATTTAATTACCGTCGTAGTGTACATTTTTTTTCCAAAAAGCATTTTAATCAAAACTCATAAGAGAACTTGCAATTTATGGTATAAGAAATAACCTCCTTAATTGCATCTCAGCATTTGTTTTCAATAGATACCAACGAGTTTTGGTCGGAATTTCACTTATAAAACCATCTACCATTATTTGTATTAGTTTACAAGAAAACAATTTGTAATTAGTAACAACGGTTATCAAAACAGTTTTTAATCTTATAAGCATCATGTATGCAGTTGATACCAATCTATACGTAAAGTTTATTAGATTATGAGTTATTTTAGTTGCTTGTCTTTGCACTTTTTCTAGAATATTAAACATCCTTTGATATTTGAAGACCAAACTGGTGCAGCGAATTCAATATGCAGTCGTACTAATAACTCGTATAGTAGCTTAAGAATGTATTTGTTGTGGTGTGCAGAAGTTTTTTTTTATTTGACACAAGATTAAATTTGTTTTTGACGAGGATTTTATAATCTGTTGTTTCCACTTAAGATCATTCGTAAATTTTAATCCCAATTCCGTCTTTATGATAGTCCTTTTAAATTATTTCCTATCCATTAGGTAAGAATGATTCTCATTTTTTTGTTTCATAATGCATAAAGACATTTTTCAATATCTATTTTTTTGTCCAAACAACAGCTTCATCCAAATCAGCTTGAAGACTTTCTAATTTTTTTTGTATTTTTAACTGTTAATAAGATTTTTGCATTATCAGCATAAAGTTTTGTTACATTCTGAAAAGAATCAGGCAAATCATTAATAAATGTCAAAAGTACTAACGGTACAAGCAGTGATCCTAGAGGTATGCTACTCAAAACTTTTTTCTACGTAGATACAACATTACCTATTTTGACTCTTTGTCGTCGATTACTTACAAACGCTTTAATCCACTCTAAAAGTTTTCCACATACACAATACGCCTTAAGTTTTAAAATTAATCGTCTATAAGGTGTCAAGTGTTTTAGCAAACTCAAGATAAATAAGATCAACTGGTTTACAAGCTACTAAACTGATAGTCAATATTGTAAACGTTTGATTGACGTTTAATAAACGTATATATTAAAAGATTTAAAGCGTAGATTTTAAATCTATAAATGTTTACGATTAATTAAGGTAGATTAAAGGTTTACAATCCTGACTTATGTAAGTCGATATTTTAAATGTTAGACTTTTAGTAAACGTTTTATATAAAAAAGTTATTGTTTTAATTATGTCTATTTAAATCACGCGATTTAAATAGACATAATTAAAACGTATTAAAAAATCAATTTTTTTTTGGGTAAAGAATTAAATTACCCAAGTAGCAAACAATATTGGCGTAATATTGGCACGATATTGGGTATCTTAGCTAATCTCGGCCAAGATATCCAATATTGCGCCAATATTGTCAAGCAATATTACACGGCTGTTTCAAACGGAGCTTAACGGCTTCTTGTTATTTTTTGAAAATATTGACTTAAGAGGTGTTACTAAAACTTTTATAACTTTTAAAATATTAAAGATAATTTTGTTTTGTAAAAAGAATAAAAACACCAATAAAATGTTTCATCTTACGACGTTTAATGCATTAATAAAAAAACTTCTTTAAGTTTAAAAAAAACGCGACAAATGATGAAGTTGGCTGAATTCAAGAAATTTGATGTTACTTTTTATCAGAAAAAAATCAGAAAAATTTATTTCTGATAGTTATTCTCAAATATACCCATTGTTTGACTATTATAAAAACAAAAAAACCTTACTTAATTGTTTAAGGATAGCTAAAACAGACTTTATTGAGGTCTGAAAGCAAACCGCACTTTTCGCAAAGTTATGAAAAATGTAGTTAAAAGGGGGATTAGCTATTAAAAGAGTACATTTTTAAACCTAGGAGTTCTTGTTATCAAGTACTGAGCTATGTTAGGAAATCTTAGTTGGCCCAACTCATGTTTTCCGGAAAATATGCGAAAATTAGAAAAGTGGTTCTAAATTATTAAAAATATTTTAATGATATTTATTTTTATACCAATTAATGTAAATATTTATTTAACAAGGAAAGATAGATTTTTTATATTTTTTTAATTGCAAGATGAAAGCATTTATATAAAAAAGTTACTATTAATTTAAAGTTTGTGAATTTTTATACTTTTTATGCGGAAATACTTTTTTTTTTGATAAACTCATGACGTCACGCTCGTTTTTATATTGAGTGAAACAGCCGTGATTACGCCAATATTGTCTTACCAATATTGGCAAACAATATTGCGCCAATATTATCCCATTATCGATTTACTGATATTGTTGTGCCAATATCCGCTTTATATAAATTTTTCATATTGGTAAGCATGCGTAACATTAAGAAATATTCTTAATGTCCTTTAGTTTTGTTAAATGTGTTTAAATGTAAATAATAGCATCTTTTTACATAAACAGGCATCCTTATGTTATTATTTTTTTACAAAAACAAATAAGAGTTCAAAATAAAAATTTTAATTTATGAAAAGAGAAGAAGTAGGAAAAGTATTTTTAATTCAACATTTACTGAGTGAATCAGGAGAAGAAGTGTTGGTAATTTATTTTAAAACAGATTGTATCACGAGAAGAAGTGGTAAGAGTAATGAAATTCTTTCATTCAACATTACGAATTGAATTACGAGAAGAAGTGGTTGTAATTGATTTAAAACATATTGCATCACGAGAAGAATAGGAAAAATATTGCTATACTTAAGTATCAAGATTAAAATAGTAAGTTTACTCTTAAATGAAAACACTTTGAGAAGATTTCATCTATAAAATATAAGTTTTATAGTCAATTTATTTTGTTAAAGATATTCGTTTAAGAAATAAATACGTCATTATTATTGTTTCTAACAGTTATAAGATTTTAATTTACGAAAAAGGTACCCCTGCTTGACACATAATAACATCAATAATATATATATATATATATATATATATATATATATATATATATATATATATATATATATATATATATATATATATATATATATATATAAATTATATAAAATATATAAATATATATATATATAAAAATTATATATATATATATATATATATATATATATATATATATATATATATATATATATAAATTATTGACCTTCACACACGCACATAAATTTATTATATATATATATATATATATATATATATATATATATATATATATATATATATATATATATATATATATATATATATATATATATATATATATATATAAATTATTGACCTTCACACACGCACATAAATTTATTACAAAATAATAATTTTGCAATAAAAAAGTTTTTTTTTATAATGTCTTTTATTTTATATAGCATTTTATTTAATGCAATAGTTTAATGCAATGTTATAGGTAATAAACAAATCAATAAGTTAAACTAGATCTGCTACTTCACGTTATGTTAAGAGTAGTTAAATAAGATTAATGTAAAATTCACACAATAAGCAATGCTGAAAATAGTAAAAATTATATAAATGCGACTTTGAAAATGCAATAAACTTTAGTGAGGATTGATGTTAGACATTAGCCTTGGAGAATAAAATTGATATAGAAAATTTATATCAGATATATTGAAATCTTTTAACACATTTCACAACTCCTATTTCTAAAATTAAAAGCTTATAGAATAAATGACTAACTCTACAATTGGATTTTAATGTTACCTAAGAGATTGGCATTAGAGTATCATTGTTGGTGGTACATACTCAGTATGGATAATAGTAAATAGTAGGGTCCCCCATTATTAACTTTTATGATATATAATAAAGATTTTTCTGATTTGGTTTTAGATGTTGTATCTGTATTTGCAGATGATACTAAGTTATACAGTTTGCTTTTTGATAGCTCACCATGCAATAACCTGCAATAAAGTATGGACATTATAGCAAACTGGGAAAAACTATGAAAACTAAGTTTTAATGTAAAAAAATGTAAAGTTATACCCTTAGGACCAACAAATACAAAATTTTTTCTTAGGACCAACAATGCCCTTAGGACCAACAAATACAAAATTCATTTATATACTCGTTGATAAAAATCTTAATACTTCAATTAATATTAAAAACTCTCTCATCAATAAAGAGATCTTTATTGACAGTAATTTGACTTTTATTTTGTAAGTACTAAGAATAACACCACTAATAAAGTTGTAGGAATGATCAAAAGATCATTTGTCAATCTCATTATCTTGACATTTTGTACTTTGTTTATTTTCCTTGTTCGTCCTCACCTTGATTCTTGCAGCTCTGTCTACTATCCTAGACTTTAAAAAGATCAACAATTAATTTAAAATGTTCTATGCTAGTCTAGTAAATTTATTTTTGGCCAGACTGGACTCACTTACAACCAAAGACTACTGAGACTAAATTTAACTAGCATGAGCTATCGTTTCTTATGTAATGATATGACAGAAACTTACAAATGTATTCACAATCTTTATAATTGTAGTTGAACCCTTTTGTTTCCTCATAAAATACTATTCAGTATTTTATCAACACCTGTGTCTGAATGGTGTCATCTGCACAGCCATTATATTTATTATTGTAATTACAGACCATTGAGTAGTTAATCTGAGTTGTAATAGCATGCGTGTTAATATGGCCACTTTTTAATATTAATATATGATTATATATTTAGTTAGTATTTGTTCCTCCATTATGACTAACTCCAACTTAACAACATGCGATCATGCTTATAAATTGAAAAAAATGTTTTGTAAGACAGATGTCCGGAAAAAACTTTTCTAATATGGAATTCACAAATTTGTAGAATAGTCTACCATCTGAAATAGTGTTCAACATCTGTCACAACATTAAAAAAACATCTAGATGCATCTTGGGTTCATCAAATGTACAATTGCAAAATGGTAAATATTTACTTAGAGCCTCAAGTTGTTTATCTTCCTTAATGTCATATTTAAATAAGAAAATATTATCATAGAAACCTTTCCAAACCGCGCAAACTTTAAAATTCTATTTCTTTTTTCAGCAATCTCCTTTCAAAGGGCAGGTTACATTTAGTTTACAATTATTGCACGCTAAAATGACAATTGGGTTCATTGAAATAATTTTATTGTTGTGATTCTTTATTTATTTTGTTATGTTGCTTGTGCAGCCGTAGCTGACTTTTATTGTGTTACAGTTAAACAGTTTATGAAGCAGATTTCTTGTTTTTTTGTTTGTGGACTACTTTGGTATTGTTTTTAGGGTTGTATTTAAAATTAAAATCTTTGAAACCATTTCTTTTTAGGGCTTCGTTGTATTCTGCCATATAAATATTTTTTGTCATAAGAACTTTAGATAAACTATTGTTGATAGCAATTGGAATTTGTTTAATAATTTTTGAGGGTGTATATATATATATATATATATATATATATATATATATATATATATATATATATATATATATATATATATATATATATAAATTATTGACCTTCACA